ATTATTAGTATTTTCTTTCATTGACGTAACTGTTTTAATAAATTAAATGCGTTAATTGTAATTTAGGGTTTTGTTTTATTTTCTTCGCGTTGTGGCCTTCTAGAATTTGATTAGGGTTTTTAGTCTCTAATTATAAGTAGACTAGGGTTTTATATTAGCCTATATAAAGAACAGTATGTCTGCCAAGAGTTGGTAAACCCAGTTCCCGTATACAGAGAGACAGAGAGAAATAGAGAGAGGAAGGCTAGGGTTTGGCTTAGACTAACACTGAATCAAGGAGGGAAAATTGAGCTTGCTCGTGGGTTGAACCAAGAGCAACAGTGGTCGGTGAAAGCAGTAAAGTCGCCGGAATTACTAAAGATGACGGGTTAAGGTTTTGAACGGAAACCTAAAGGCAAGTCTCTATTCTAACTCTTTCCCTTAAACCTGTGTTTTGTACATGCCTAGGTAGGCTCCAGGGGTTTAATTAATGCTAAAACATATCTGTAATGCATGTTTAAACTGTAATTTGCTTCGTTGAATTATACTGATTTGAAAATTCTTAAAGCGTTTAATTGTATCCTTCTGTATATGTTGTTAAGCCTTGTTTAATTAAGATTGTTGATGCATGTCGATGTCTTTAAAATAATCTGGGATACTGAATGAACATTAAAACAAGTGTTTAAAGGATTACAGAGGCCCTGAGTATCGCCGGAGGCGAGGAAGACGACGTAGAAAAGGTTAACGGCTTTAGGGAGTGAGAGAGCAAGCTCCCAAAAAGAAGGAGCTCGCTCCCTCATCAATGGAGCCAACTCCAATGAGTGTGGAGCTGACTCCTAGCTCCACAGAGCCTGCTCCCAAAGTTAGGGAGCCGGCTCCCATGCCAATGGAGCAGGCTCTCAATTTGTGAGAGTCTACTCTCGCCCAGAATTGGGTACTGTTAGTTTTTAAGGCGCTGTTTGGACTAGACAAAGTATTTTTCACTTCATTTAAACTGCTTTAAATGATGTATATGATTGTCACAGACCTGTAAAAATATAGGAAAACAATAATTCATAAATGGATTAAGGAATGGACGGCTCCAATGAGTGTAGAGCCGGCTCCTAGCTCCACAGAGCCTGCTTCCAAAGTTAGGGAGCCGGCTCCCATGCCAATGGAGCAGGCTCTCAATTTGTGAGAGTCTGCTCTCGCCCAGAATTGGGTACTGTTGGTTTTTAGGGCATTGTTTGGACTAAACAGAGTATTTTCACTTCGTTTAAACTACTTTAAATGATGTATATAATTGTCACAGACCTGTAAAAATATAGGGAAACAATAATTCATAAATGGATTAAGGAATGGACAGTGTGAATTTAGAGAAAAATCCCACATGTTGCACTTTGGTTGTTAATCAATTTACATACTGGAACTTGGAGATTCTTGTAAATATGATTCAATACTGTTTAATCCTATTTTAAAAGAGTTATAAGTGTAGTGAATTATTTGCAATTAATTATGCTTGGTTTGGTCTAAATTGATATTTAACTTGCTCTTAACTGTATCAATTTATGGACGATTTGGAGGATTTAAATGTTATGATTTATTTTAACAATTTAAATAGCTAGGATATGATTTTTATGTTCTGTAATTAATGCCTATATCGTTATATATGTATTAATTTATATTAATGCATACTTTGGAGAATGGTTAATAAATATCTAGTGCTATTTACTCAAATATGCTAATTGGAGAATTGTGTGCACAGGTATGGGACGGTGGCATACTAGGGATGAATTAGTTCAAATACCAAGTCCTACCTAATCTGGATTGAGGTATGGATTAACCATAAAGGTTAAGTCCTAATCATACTTGCGTCATGTCAGTAAAATAATTGAATGACCTACTTTGGTTTCTGGATGGATTGTTATACATATATCATGCCACTATACCAGATGGATGATATTTTGTATTAGGATTATACAGACTTTAATATTTATGTTATGGTGTCATGGCATGAGCTTAAGTTTCAGGACCATGATTAGGGTGCGTATATCGCCTAGGATGGATAACTGGACATATGTGTTGTTCCCTGGTAGGTCTAGGTACACGTGACCACATTATGTGCGATTTGCATAGTATCTCTACTCAGGCTGAGACAGACCTATTGGACTAGTGAGTGTCCTATAGTGTGTACTTATACATATATGGACTACTCTAGTTATTGTTGAACTATTTTGGATGTATCTGCGTATCGGGTTTCTGTATGGATCGTAGTAGAATAAGACTTGCATGGGGGCCTGACCCACTCTCTTATTTTCAGGTGTTCGTCAATTCCAAGGTTAGAGCTTGGTCGTGCAGAGCAAATACAGACACTCATTCTTCCAACAACGTATGATTACTTTCCATGTTTAGCTTTATGTTGTGTTTCAGTTGTTTCCTTTCCAGTTCAGGATTTTAATAGGGGTCTACCAGATGGATTCTCGAGTTGTTAAATAAATGGAGATTTTGGATTATTGGATTTTAAGTATTTAATTTTAAAGGATTATGTTTTAGAATTCTTTCAGCTTTTTATTATTTTATTCTTATTTCATTTTTGTATTCTGTGTTCATTTAAATATTAATTGTTTGATATTCTCTCGGGTTTGGGCTTGGGCCTGATCAACCCGTGGCTCTAGAATCGAGGGGTATCACATTTCCCCTTCTCCAACCTGATGATGAATGGTGATGAAGGTATTTAAATCTAAGTGACGAACTTACTGCTGAAGAATGGATATATACACACACACACACACACACATATATTATGTCACAATACCCAGATCTGTTATTCCAGTGATCTTTGTGGGTTCTGATCAATAATGTAATTATTTAAAATCATATTTTTAAGCCTTGTATTGAATTTCGCAGTTCACATTCTTTGAAAAATACAATGTTAACCTAATTTTAATATAAATTTGTAACTTAATTTTTTTATTTAATTTTTTATTATTTTGGAAACATTCAATCATGCCAAACATGTTTTGCATGATTCTGTTTTCAAAATTTTCGTAACATATTTTCATTACCAAACATGATTTCGATTTCTATTAAAAACATACCAATACCAAAACGGTTTTTTTCATATCATATCAAACCATAACATATAGCGTTATCGCGATCCAAACGGACCCTTACTTTTTGTATCACATACTGCTGGAAGCTTCTAGTATGGGTTTGATGGGCACTGGACATTGGGCCTTATGGTTCAACCTATTGTTCCACTATTGATTTTTATATCCATTCAAACGGTGGGCTTGGCCCAAATTGAAAATATTAACCCGTTGACCCTATTGAGCCCACTTCTCTAATGGGTTCTGTAAATTATTCACTCATTGTGTGTGAGGATACAATAGGGACATTTGGTGGATTTGAAATTATGTAATGGGTTTTGGAACGCTCTTTATGCTAACTTACAATGTACACAATTTGATGGCAGATTTTCGCAACTTGCAATGCCTCAAGTTTGGAAACCACCTAGTATGGTGAAAGGTTAAGGGATATTGGTGGTCTAGTGCAAAACTTGGCCAGAGGAGAAGTGGAAGTATTTGGAACTCTTGAGAACATCACTCTTACTGTTATGGAGGTGTGGTTTGTAAGCGACGCGAAGAAGGTGATGGGCCTGATGGCTGCCCTTCTTGATTCTTCCTCGTCTCTCTTCAAGATTCTCAAGATTCCCTTCCTCCTTTGCATTCCCATGGTGGTAATAGCTTGGCTCCATCTCGCCTTGCTTTCGATTATATGTTGTCGAGGAAGTTATGTTGGCCAGGCTAATATCCAGGTTTCAGTGATTGACCTCATGTCTGTTATGTTTGTTGAATGTTTGTATGTTGATATCTTTGCAGTAGTCAGGAAATACTAATGTAATCTTGTTATGTAATGGTGTTTTGGTTGCCAAGAATAAAAAATAAAAAGAAAAAAAAGATCTAAGATCCAAGTTTGCCATTACATAATTTATTTACTGTTATGTTTATTAATATAAAAAAATTAGGTTATGGTCGGCTGCATAGAATTGGAGCATTTAAATTAGAATTAGTGGAATTAGAAAAATAAGTTTAGTAAATTTTTTTGTAATTTTAAACTAAAATTTTATTCACTTCCTCCAATTTTAAGACTCCTATTTTATGCAACCAAACATAACCTTAAATATCTACCAGTAGCATCAGCTTTACCATATGATAGGCAATCAACCATGGATAACTTAGCTCTGGTCATAACATAACCAACAAGGTACCACCAAAATGGAGCAAGGAGCAAGGAGCAAGGAGCAAAAAGTTAAAGCATTGCTGATGAAACAAGGTTATAGTAAAAAATTCACACACTTTATTTTAGAGACTCCAACTCACCGTAAAGAAAATATTAGTAGGCCAAAAGGCCCTTGGTGATAAAACAAGACTATAAACCATTAAGTTCAAATCAACAAACACAACTAACCAACTGAAGGGCATATATTTCATTTATTGAACATTCCATCAGATAGTTGGATATGTATAATAACTGAATTATTAGTAACCCTTATTTGGTTTCATCATCTAAATCTAATACAGATTATATAATCAGTTTCCCTATCCGCATTTTTTTTGCGCAAAAAGTAGGCTTATTAGAAAAAGTACTTATTTTTTCCCCACTAAAATATGAAAATTCTACAAAAATTCCAATTGCTATTTCTAACTCCAAAATTCTCTGTATTTTTATAAATAAAAACAACTCATATATGTATATGGCCGGTCATATAATTAATTCAAAGGTTTAAGATCAATTTAAACTACTGTGCTATCAGTTCTCCCTCCTATTTGTCTCCATTTTCATATTTTATTTTTTAAACAATACAAAATAAACCTCCCAATTTCTCTCTATAATATTATTTATTTATTTTCACTCCTTTTCTCCCAAATTATCTCGCTACAAAACGCTGTAAATATTGACATTCCACGTCCTCCTCTCACAGTCACAGAACATGTGTGTGTTGTCTTCCCACAGAAAACACCAAATGGAAGAGAGAGAAATAGAAAATCAGAAATATTACATTAATCAGAATACGAAACGCATTTTTATACACACAAAGACACACGAACAAAGGGGGTGACGAAAGAGAGAAAAAAGTGAGAGAGGTTTTCAAATTCTCCGCCGCTTCAAGCATAGAAGCAACAGGAATTCGTCTCTGGTAATTCCCCATCTCTTTTTCACACAGTTGCGTCTCTTTTTCATTGAAATATAGCCGCTGTTGCAATTTTAATTGATTTTTGGATAATCTTTCTATATCTAAGTCGAATCCTCAGAAGTGCGATTTATCCGAAGAATTAGGGTTTTCAATTTTGGTATTTCTTCCGTCATTTGTTGTATGAAGATTACACGCGTTCGCCTGTTAAATTACTCAATATTTTGCTGTAATTTGAATTTTCTCTTTTCAGATTGTTTGAATCTATCATCACGCGTGTATTAAGTAGACAAACACAACGGTTGAAATGGCCGTACTATTTAATGATTGAAGTAATTTATTAGTTTTAATCGAGAAGGAAAACTTTAAAGTAGTTTTTGGTAGTTTTTGGAAGGACGGGAATTGGATTATAAAATGGAATTCTTGTCAGTTGGAATGAATAAAATTAAAAACGGAATTGAATTTGACTGGATTTCAAGTCCCAAATTGTACTACTTAGAAATTCCATGAAAATGGTCGGATTTTGTAGGATTTGGAATTTAGGTAAGCGAGATTTGCAATTTAACTAAATTCCGAATTGTTCCATTTTAGTCCCCCTTCCAGCATCTAAATGGAGAGTACATAGGGACTATGTCTTTCACTGTGGTTTCTAATACTCCAGTTCGATTCTTCGTCTTTGTTACACCGTTGAGTTAATGAATAGAGTAACTATTAGAATTGCAAATTTGACTTATCATTTTAGGGTTTTGAAATTGGACTAAGTTGTGAATGGTTTGGCCAAACTGATGCTGATGCATTTGGCTGCTTTGGTGGTTGACCTTATATATATCTTGAAATTTGGAAATGCTAGTCATGTTGTCATACTCATTTTGAATTAATTTTTTTGCTTTGGTCCCATTCAAATTGTACCAAGGCAAGGAAAATGATGTAATTTTATATTTGTAATGCATAAAAATCATTGATATTTAATTTCACATAAAGTGATCTTTTATCATTGTGGTCTAGTGGAATTGACCTATTGTCCTATAGGATTCTTCTTGATAATGTCAAATTTATCTAGTCTTTTTGTTGAGTAGTTTTTCCATGGTGCAAGTTGTTGCAATTTCACTTGGTTTTGCAGGTCAAATTCGTGATATCCTTGATGGGTGCTCCTAAGCAAAAATGGACATCAGAAGAAGAAGCAGCTCTTAAAGCTGGAATTGTCAAGCATGGGGCAGGGAAGTGGCGTACAATTCTTAAAGATCCAGAATTTAGTGGTATCTTGTACCTACGTTCAAATGTAGATCTCAAGGTATAAATCTTTTAACCTTTTTCATTTGTTTTTTGATAGTTTGTTTTTCTTGAAACAAATGTGTGGTTCCGTGCATCAAGATGATAGCCATTTAGATTATTCATTTGCAATATATAGAGTTATGTAGGCTATTGTGTATGCTGTATCTTCATGTGGTTAGGACAAGTGGAGAAATTTGAGTGTTATGGCAAATGGATGGGGCTCTAGAGATAAGGCAAGAGTAGCACTTAAAAGGATGCAGCAAGTTCCTAAACAGGATGAGAATTCCATGGCTCTTAGTACAGTAGTTGAAAGTGATGAAGAACCCGTTGATGCCAAGCCTCTTGCAGTATCTAATGTTTCTGCACAGAGTAGTGTTCCAAAAAGATCAATCATAAGGTTAGACATTCTTTTCATCATTTGAGATAGCACAGTCTTTTTTTCCACAATCCAAGTGCCTGGATAGTAGTGGGCACAAACGGTTCTACGTAACATTGGAAACTTCTCGTTTTTGCTTAGCTGTTGTTGTTGATTACTTTAATTAAGCTAAATCAGTTGGTTCTTGTTCCGTGGCAACTAGACAACTACTTAAATTGAATATTCATCCTAATTTGAGTGGAGAACTGAAATTTGCACTATTAGCAATCCTGCACAAGAAGTCAATTTATTGTTATTTGTATGTATGAAGCATTCTTGTGATTTTTTTTGTTATTCTTCCTTCTCATTGTTTCAGGTTGGACAATCTTATAATGGAGGCTATAAATAACTTGAAGGAGCTTGGTGGTTCTAACAAGACAACTATATCTACATATATAGAGGTACTTATGTTCATATATATATTGAGAATGTATTGATGTCACCTTATAAGAAGCTCGAGGAAAACAAATTTAAAGAAGATAGAAATCTTATAAACATTGCAATAGGTTCCTTAGGACCATGCATATTAAATATTAGCATTAGGAAGATCCTTTTATGTTTATACTCAGTTTTTTTTTTTTTTTGATAAGTATGTTTATACTCAGTTAGGATGAGAAAATCTTAGAAACCTTTCAATAGGTTCCTTGGGACCTTGCTTATTAATTGTTAACATTAAGAAGATCCTTCTATATTTATACTCAGTTAGGATGTTGTCGGTCTGTCTTCAATATGTTTTTTTGTATAGTTAAGGCACTCTATTAATGTCTATATTGGGTCGGACCCGCTATCCCGTTGGTTCACCAAGCCAATCTTGATCCCTGTATCAAGTGAATGACTCTATTACTACCATTATATAATTATAAGTCCAGTGGACCAGAAGAGTAATGCAACAAAATACATTCCAAGAACCATGTTTCTAAAGTCCCGGATGCAATGCAAGGATGATGATCATGATCTGCTAAATATGTGCTGTAGCAGGGGTACGGAGGTCATATTTTGGTACAGTTATTGGTTTTGGTCCTTATTTATGGACTTCACTTTTATGTTGGCTTTGAATGGTCAAAGTCTATTTCTAAATATGGAGTATAAGACTTAATTAGAGTTACAAATTTCTTAAAATCTGTATATAAATATATAATGCTCTCAATGCATGGGGAACAATTCTGAAACTCTTTGGTATTGTGTGATATAATTCTGACCTAGGTGTGACGCTAGCAAAAATATAAGATAAACTTAAGTTTTGTAATAATAAAATTTTGAGACACAAGTGGTGTAATAATAAACTATAAATTACTGACTAGGAAGCACGGACACACCAAAATGGGCGAAGAATCCGTGTCCGACACGTATCGGACACGGACACGCCAAAAAACGTGTCTGGAATTTTTTTATTTTTTTAATTTTCGGACACGGCTTGGACTTCCATGCATGGTGTGAAATCAGCCTTTCCCAATCCATTAACCATTGAAGGAGCAAGCGAGCGGACATGGCTCGGACACGCGTGTCTTGAATTTTTTTATTTTATTTTTATTTTTAATGCTGATATGTACTGTTTTTGTTTTGTACTACCCTTTTGGTATTGTAAATGGTAAAAGTCCTAGGTCAAATGATGGATGGGAATAGATGATGGTACACTGACTTGTTTTTGTATCTTTTTTGGGGACTAGCCTTTAGGTTTTTGTGAATGTTAAGTGCTAACAGTAAAGTCCTAAATGTTAATAGTCCTTTCTGTCTATGCTTTTGTATTTGGAGTAAAGTTGCAATGATGATTAAATGATACTAGTTATTATTCTAATGTCTTGTTTTTTATTTGGTTTTATAACTATGCAACATTGTTCTTTTATAGTTTATTAGTTATGAGTTATGATTTGTGTTTTTTTTTTCATTGTGAGGTTGATGAAAAATAGTAACTCAGTAATTTTTAAAGTACTACATCACACACACACACACATATATATACTATTCGTCGTGTCTCTGCCGTGTCCGTGTCCTAATTTTTTTGGATTTGCTGTGTCGCCATGTCCGTGTCGTGTCGTATCTGTGTCCGTGCTTCTTAGCTGATCTTTATAGACGATGGTGCTTCATTTTGATGCCTCATATTTATGTTGAAGTGCAACAAATGCTTATATGTTCGGAAACCGTACTTTTTTAAGAAAAGAAGTGCATTCTCACATTTGACACGCTACATCCATGTTGAAATACAATTGTGTATATTTATATGTTTATTAACAATTAACCAGCCCTCAAAAAATTTAAATTGTTAGAGAGGATTTGACTTTCATGCTTGTAAATTTATAATACTCCGCATTTGTTGCTGGGGTCTCCTCAGTGTTTGGATCAAGTATATCCCATAGTATGCCTAAGTATTATGATCATCGGGAAGTTGTTTGGATTTAAATATAGGACCTTCATGGTCCATCACCATATGAACAATCAAATTCTTTCCTTCCTTCTTTCTTTCTTTTTTCCCCCCGAATGTGTTTAGTTTTATTAATACAGGAATAAAGTACAAATGAACAGCCCTAAGGCTTAGAAACAATAAGAAAACCTCTCTAGGCATACCCTAGAAAGAAAACAGAAAATACACTCAAAAGAATGATTATAAATCAGTCAAAGATAGGCCCATGGATTGACAAGCTTCAATAGCAATCTGTTGATAAGATTTGCTTTGACCCCCCAATGCAATCTAGAATTTCTTCCATTGACAAACTCCAAATGATAACAGAAAATAAGCATCTAGTGAGTTTGGACTAAAGGTATAAACTGATCGAGATTTGCAACTTTCAAGTTTTATATCATCAACATTGTTCAAATGTCTTACTGGAAAAGGTTTAGGTTTTTGTATTTCTGTGGAGGGAGAGGCAAAGAATGTTGTGGTTGTGTGGGTGGGTGGGGCGTGTTGGCAGTAGAGTCCTCTTTCAATTCAAGTACTCTTTTACAAGGCTTTTGAAGTCTTGAAAGCAAATCGATCTTTTGGGATGTAGTATAAAAGAAGTGGTTATCAAGATACATAAAAGCATGCTGTCAGAGTCTTGTTGAATCCCTTTCTTTTTATGTTGTTTCCACTGGGGACTGTAAATTACATATAGAAACAATTTCATTTCTGTGATCCCTAAAAATGACATAATGAAAAACATATCTAATCATGCCAATTACCTAATTATGCTTCAAAAGCCATATTGCAATGCACTGGTCACCACATTCTAATGCCACATGGCATGATTAAGCACTAACAGTGGGCATCAGTTCTCACGTGAAATACCTCAATGAGGAATCCAGCTTAACCATTAATTATGTGAGCTTCAGACACCTGATGGTATCCGCCTCACCTTAATGTAAATGTTGATTTATATAACACCCAAGCTGCATTCTGAAAAGAGAACATGGCGTGGATTCACCATTTTTACTTTAAAACTTGACATGGTGCTAAGAAGGTAACTATTGTCTTTATAGTCAGTCTGTCTGTCTGTCTGTCTCTCTTTCTTTCTCTTTCTCTGTACATCATATTGTAGCATGTAAGCATTTGCAATATTTTTTTTTTTGGTGATGGATCTTGTGCATAATCTTGTTTTTATTTATTAATCAGTTCTGACCTTCACTGTTTTTATTCTGTAGGAACAATACTGGGTGCCTCCAAACTTTAAAAGACTATTATCAGCAAAATTGAAATTTTTGACTGCAAGCGGGAAACTAATCAAGGTAAATTACATGCAATGTTTCTGAGGTTGTATAGTAATAAACCAGTTGGCTTTATATTATCATTGACCTTATTTAGACACATAGTACTGGCAAATTTCATAGAACTGTAATCATTCAAACTAAAAAATATTTGAAGCTTAGCATGAACTCTGACAGTAATGTATGCAAACCATTTGATCTGTGCTGTCAGTATCTACCTGTTGAAATAAGGTGTGGAATATGAAAGGCTATCATAAATGGGTTGGTTATGCTATTAATTAAATGGAATAGTGGATAAAGTACATCATACATGGCCCATATTTTGATAGGAATGTGCCCATATGGACTTGCAATGCTTGTATTTTGGATGTTTTTGTTTCGGAATTGCCTTAAAACAGGCTGGAGGAGAGGTAATATGTTACTGGCTTACTGCGTGATATTTATTGTCAAGTGGAATAGTGGATAAAGTACATAATGCATGGCCCACGTTTCCGTAGGTTGGTGCCCATATGGACTTGCAATGCTTGTTTTTAGATTTTTTTGTTTCAGAATTGCCTTAAAACAAGATGGAGGAAAGGTAATATGTTACTGGCTTACTGCGTTATATTTATTGTATTGATCTTCCATAAGTTTCTTGTATTAGACATATAATTGACTCATTATACTTGAGCTTCGGTTAAAACTTTTATAAATTGGTTTGGTCAATTGTTTTCTTTGGAATATGGAGTACTTAAAAAAGATTCAGTAACCTCCAGCTTGACCAGGAAATACTCCCTTACAGCCATATAGAACTGAAGTTGGATGCAGTTTATAGAACATTTGGTCCATCAGTAGCCAGTAGTAGTTAGTTGCTTATGGCTTGTTGGTAAAGTTAGGCTTTGTTGTGTTTCTTACAGATGAAACGGAAGTACAGAATTACACCAACTTCAGCTTTATCTGACAAAAGAAGAAACTCTTCCATACTCCTGGAGGGAAGGGAAAGGGATCCTCCTAGGTTTGACAGGGATGATACCAGTAATCTGCGAAAACCTGAGATCGATTTAGATTTAGCCAAGATGAGGAGTATGAATCCACAAGAGGCTGCTGCAGCTGCTGCTCAAGCAGTTGCAGAGGCAGAAGCTGCTATGGCAGAAGCCGAAGAAGCAGAAAGGGAGGCAGAGGTAGCAGAAGCTGATGCAGAAGCAGCACAGGCTTTTGCAGAAGCAGCAATGAAGACACTGAAAGGAAGAAACACACTAGGGGTGGTAAATCCTTTATTAATCATCTCTCTCTTTTCGGCATTTTAGTTTCTTGATAAGTCAAGGGTAATATTTGAAAAAATATATAATTATTTCTATTTTAAATAATATTCTAATTTTTTGAAAGAACATTCTCCTTAATCATATGAACTTTATTTTTTAAATTAGAAGCAACATTTAATATAAAAAAAATTTAAATAAATAAAATGTATATGATTGAATACAAAAATTGAGTGGTGAAAATGAGGACCAACGGATAAAAAAATAAAATAAAATAAGTGAATTTTTTTTTGTTAAGCTGTGGTCAATTATTCATAGAGAGGGAGAGATTGACAATGATATTATTCATATAATTAAAGCAAGACGGACTAAGTGAAGGAGTGTTTTTGGTATATTATTGATCTATCAACACATACATCTAAATTAATTTTAGAAAAAAAACATATAAATCTAAATTTCAAAGATAAATTCTATAAAAAAGGGTCATTTGAGCAATGTTACCAACCTTATATATGGGACAAAATTGTCAAATCAGTGTAGTTTAAATGTAAACATGGAAATGACTACATTCATCAATTGAGATGGTTTCGTCACTGCACGAGCTAGGCCTTCTTTTCACCACTACTGCGAATATGAAAAAATCATCGGAAAAGTTGGATTTAGTTGTCAACTACCCCTATTGAAAATAGGATTGACTCTGGATTCAAAATACCAATGACTGCACCATTGAAGAAGAGTGTTGTGACCTACATTGAGGGTAATGCTAAAGGAAAGAGAAGATAAAAGTTCATATGGGTTAATATAATGAGAATGTCAAGGTGGATGAGTGGAGTGAGTAGAAAAGATTGGGTCCCGAACAAGGTTCGCAGTCGAGGTATCGCTCGCGGCCGCGGTGTAACATAATCGGTTATCGCAGTCGTGAATTTTTTTCGACCTTGCACGTAATGTCCAAAATGCATCGATAAGCAATTTTTTACGACATAATTTGTTAAAGATGATTTTTTAGTGAATTTTTAAAAGACCATTTAGCTTGAGTAATGATTTATTTATAAATTGTAAGTCACTTTCTTTATTTAAAAAGCTTAGTCATTATGTATTTTTGTTAAATCTTAGAGCAATCCTTCCCATGCTTTTAACATTTTAAAACAAATATAATATTATGCTTTATATTTTTAACATTCTAAAATAAATTAATAAATATTAATGTTGTAGTATTTTGTTCGAGAGTTGTGTTTTTTTTTTTCATGGCAAGAATGTTAGGGGTTAGTGGTTAGAGGGGAGGGAGAGGATGCAAGGCTCGAACACAGACTCCCGAGGGAGAGGGTGCAAGGCTCGAACACAGGCTCCCGAACACGGGGAGCAACCCAACCACTCGGGCAACAATGCACTTACTTATTTTGTTCGAGAGTATGCTTTTCATATAATGAATATAATCAATATAATTATTGGAGTTAATGGAGCTTTCCCAAAATAAAAAAAAGCCTTTAAGTATATTTATTATAATCATTAACAAGGAGTGGCAGCTGGCTTGTTGGAATGGGTGCTGGCGTTTGGTAGAAGAAGCCATGGTTCAACTTTCCTTAATAGCAAGAATTTTTTTTTTTAATTAAAACTAAAACTGTTCACAGCTGGCTCGTTCAGGAGACAAACTGTCTGGTTCCCCAGAGAATCACCGGTTCTAAGGTGTATATTGGGGATCCAAACTGGCGGATTTGGCGAGCCATGGTCACAAATGAGGGAAAAATTAGGTGTAGCACCCATTGGTGAGAAAATTAGAGAGTAGACTTAGATGGTACGAACACATACATTTCAGACCCAGAGGTACACTGGTCAAACAAGTCTAGTAGTAATAGAAGGTAAAATTAATAGGGAACGAGGTTATTAGAAATGACTTTTAAAAGTTTAAAATAGTAAGTAAAATGGCATTTAATTGGAAATATTGGAGAGAGAATTCATGTGGCCGACCCCATTCATCTGGGATGGTGGTGGTGGTGGTGGATGTTCAGCTGCAGTTAATTTTTTTTTTATTGAAATTCACAAAACAATCACTTACGTCTTTTATGAATTATTTGGACTTTTTATTAAATGAGAAAAGTAACCTGACACTCGGGTTACGCTCAAACCATAAATTGCTGCAACAGTAAGAATTATGTTGACAATTCTATGTTTAGGATGTTCTCAAGACCTCCAAGATGACAGCATATTGTTTGGACTGTTCAGTGGGGTTATTGGATTAATATATATTCTTGGCATAATGTTTATGTTGAGAATTATGTAACCTGCTGCCATTTTTGTCTTTCTTCTAGTTGATGGTTCCCAAGCTCACTGAGATTACCAGCATTCAGCATTTGATTTATGATTGTCTTGGCTAAACTGTGCAGATGATCCGTGCTTGATAGGCATTGACAAAATGGTCAATTATGAGATGAACTAGGGCATTCTGTGGATCAGCTCCCACATGGATCTGTGTATTTCTTCTCAGTATTTGGTCTGTTGTTGTAGATAAGGTAAGAATTCCTGGCCTGTAAATTGCAGAATGTTTCGATAACAGCTCGTTCTATTGGCAGTTGTATATTTGGGCACTTCTATGTTTTTTTTTTTTTGAACTTCTCTTGCAGGAATGAAATATATTGCACTGTTAGGAAATTTTAGAATGCCTCCAAATGGGAAAAGCCAGTAAATACAAAGAAATGGTAAAAGTTTGATTCAATTGGGATGTTTATTGTACAGTGATCACGTCCATGGTCCCGTTTATTGCTTGAACCTTTGAGATAGAATTATGAATGGAACTGTTGACAGTATGGAATCTAGCGTTGGAATCAATTTAGTCATCTGGTAGGAAGCTGAAAACCTATGTTAGAATTAGCCCTTCTATGCAATATGATACTGCGGCAAAAAGCCGATTGTAGTGTGTCAACCACTAGGTAAAGTTTCTTGTTCGTATTTAGCGCTTTTATCAAACCATAAAGATGCTGCGAAACATTGATTGTACGTGCCAACCACAAATTTAGCCCAAATGTCTTTAAACCATCAAAGGGCTTAACCGATGTTATAGTGTTATACCCTTCAATGAGTCTAGTGAGACAAACGAATATTTTTTTGAAAAAAAAAGACCATGTTTTCACCAAAATGTCTTTTATAGTTCTCTAAAAAGAGTTTACTAAGTGACAAACCAAGCTTGCTTTAAAGTTTGTAAAATTCGTATGATTGCTATGGTAACTTTCTATGAATCTCGAGGAATTGAAACTTGAGCTACAAATCACACAGCAACCATAGGCAAAATTTAAAAAGAAAACAAAGAAGCATTGTGATTGTACATAATATAATATTCAGATTTTCACACAACAATATAGATTGAGAACTGGAAGTTATGATGTATAAATGGATCATAAAAGAATTTATAGTTTGGCTGTCTGCTAGAACAGACTGTCAACTCTCTTGAAGGGATTTGTCCACTAATGAAGTTATTATGTATAAATGGATTATATAATTTTGAAATGATTTGTCCACTAATGAATAATAAAATCAAAAGAACTAATGAATAATACTATTAAAATTTTATTTTGCTAAAACTCAAAAAATAGATCAGCAAGTTGACCGAGTTTAAAAAATTAAAGATGGGTTGGGCTCAAGTTCATGGCTGGGTTTGGCCTGAGCTCGGGTTGAAGATTTTGTACCTCGGGTTGAGCCCAAGTTGACTCTCTAACCCGGCCAAGTTGCAGCCCTACTAAAAACTCCCTTCTCATACTTTTAACGGCTTGAGTTTCACGGTTGCAACAATGACTAATTGGCCCTTATTTGATTGTCACCAAAATAAATAAATAGTAGGCGTCCACCTTCAACGTCATGTTTGGTTCGGGTTGCTTCGACTACACTTGGAAGTGATTCTTTTATATCAATCATAATTGATAACCAGATTTTAGAGTTATTATTTTTTAAGATGAATTAATAATTCTTCAAGATCATTAAATCTTAAATGTTTTTATATAGCAATCGCAACCCGTTTAAACAATGTAAACCATAAACCAAAGGTAAGGAAATGAAAGCCCATATTTTGGTTAGTGAAATGGCCGATCATTAATATTAGATAGGCTAGTTCATATATAAAGTGGTTTGCTTAAAAGATTTCATCTGTAGCTGTGAATGCAATATATTTGCATATAATCTCAATTTTTCGTGATATCAAAATGACATGGTCTATGAAAATTTAGGTCAATTAGACCCTTTCTATGAAAATTTAGGTCAATTAGACCCCAATTCATTAGCCCGTTAAGAATTTATTATTTAGTGTTGATGCCAACACTAATATAACAATGCTACAATGGTTTATCAGTCCTGTCCAACTACTAATATGACTGGTAGTACCGTTCAGACTGATTATTTTTTATTATTATTTTATTTTCATCACAAGAATGTTGAGAATTAGTTATTGGAGAGGGGAGAGATGATGCAAGGCTCGAACACGGACTTCTGGATATGAGAAGTAACTCAACCACTTGGAGAAGACGGTACTTGCAATCATGACTGATAACTTGCTAACTAAAGAATATATTCATATTCATTTATATATAAAATAAAAAATGCATTTAAAAATATGGGTGCTAATTAATCACAATGGGGTCGATGGTGACGAAATTTCTTGGGCTGGTAATCCAGTTTCAACAAAATAGCTGCCCAAGGAGGAAAATTAATAAAATAATTAAGTAAGATGCATTTGTCCGCTATAAGATTATCAAGAATGTCCCACATAACAAACAGGGCATTTGGTCTAGTGGTATGATTCTCGCTTTGGGTGCGAGAGGTCCCGAGTTCGATTCTCGGAATGCCCCCGTAATACATTTTTGTTGTTTTAAATTCAACTTTGCAACAATTTGTAAAATTTTTAGATATCACATTATATTATATATAGCAAGCATTACAAAAGTGGGCATTTGGTCTAGTGGCATGATTCTCGCTTAGGGTGCGAGAGGTCCCGAGTTCAATTCTCGGAATGCCCCATTTTTTTTTTTTTTTTTTTTTACTTGGGAAAAGTACACTAAAATTTTCAACAAAATTTCTTAATTAAAAGAAAATTGTTTTAGTTGTCATCCTTGCCTTTCCTCCAAACAAATGGGTTTGGCTATTCGTTTAAAAAATAAATGCAATTTTATATGTAAATTCCATTGTTTCTGCTCTATCAGTAGACTAATAAGGAATAAGTACCAACTAGAATTCACGGACCAAAAGAGGAAAAAAAAAAAAAACACAAGAACAATTATTAGTGTAACAGGAAGTGAACGTAGATGAGAGAAGATTCACTTAAAGTCAACACACAACTACTCAAATTAGAATACATAAAAAGATCCACATTTAGTTACATAGCAACAAACACAATTTAGCTCCCCATTTAACCAGTCTCTAAACACCCAAGATATAAAAGATTCTAACAGTGTTTCACTGGTGGACAATCAACATGATGGGGATAATTTGTATCAAGGTTGCTCAACAAACGGAGTGGCTAAACAGACCGGATGGATTGAAAAGTTTGAAATTAAATGAAAGATGACAAGCATATAAAGAAAGTTTAAATTCAAAGCTCGGATCAGTAGGAAGAATATCCTCGAATCTTTACAATTCTCCTAGAATCCCAACAAGTTGCAACAGACTGAACCAGCTATAAATACAAGTCTGATCAAGCAAACAGGTATGAGAAAAATTAATTATAAAATTCCTACCTTTATTTCAAAGCTCCAACAACTGACTTGATCGTCGGAGAGCTCTTGGCAAGCACCACACCGGTGCCATCAAGGGCCATTCTTTGCAGGAAGCGGTGTCGTTCCGGGTTGTGCAGAATCTTGCATCAACATATCTTTCCTTGCAAAATTGCCGACAATGTTTCAGGTTACTCACACATTTTCTGCTCAGATTGTGCCTTCTCACACTTTGTTAGAATTTCACAGTTGCGACGACTAATTGGCCCTTATTTGATTGTCCAATTGAACCCTCAATGAGTACACCTTTCGGGTTACTTTGACCAATTTAATCACTAAATCAGCTTTTCCTTCTGAAATATACTGCTCCAACACCACAGCACACCTGAGACTAGTTACAATTCACAACAATAGGGGCACTGAGCTTCTAGAGATTGGTTGAAAAATGAACTGAATGGAAGTAATTGTTTATATCAATCATAAGCTTTTAGAACTAAGAATTATTATATAATTGAATTACTACTTGTTATGCACGAATCAATAATTCATCAAGATCATTATTTCTTAAATAGTTTTCCCTTGAAAATAATTTATATAGAAATCACAACCCATTTAAACTATCTAAACCAAAGGTAAAACTGAAAATCGCTCCTAAAGAAAGCCCATATTCTGGTAAGTGACCTGATCATTAGCAGATAGGTTAGTTCTTCAATAAAGTGGTCCACTTCTTATAAGATTTCAATTTCAGCTCTGAATGCAATATACTTGCATTCTCAGATAATCTTAAAAATTCATGATATCTCCATGAAATCTCATTGCATGCACTATGAACATATAAAATGATGCGACACAAATACGGTGAATACCTATTCCTAACTGGATTATTTGACAAGAATTTCAACTACTGATGTGGTCTTGTTCAATTATAAAGGTGGAAGTAGTATTGTTCAATTATAAAGGTGGAAGTAGTATTGTTCAATTATGAATGTGATTGATTCAAAATATGAAAATCAATCACAACTTGCTAACTAGAAGAAATATAATCATATTCACTTCAGAAAAAGAAAAATCTAATCATATCAAAACTATAGGTGCTAATTAATCACAATGACTCACATTAATAACCTTTTGTGGGTCCTCCCATTAGAAAGATAACAAAATTCCTTGGGCAACTTCCGCAAAAGTAGAAGAGGACATCCAGTTTCAACATAGTAGTTCAAGGAGGAAACTAACAGAGAAATAAATAGTAAGATGCATTTGTCACCTATAAAGATATTAATTAGAGTCCCATAAACATCAAGGGCATTTGGTCTAGTGGTATGATTCTCGCTTTGGGTGCGAGAGGTCCCGAGTTTGATTCTCGGAATGCCCCTCGTACAATTCCCACTTCTTTATATTGTTTTTTTGAATGTTCAATCAAAGTATTTTATCTAGAATCAACTCAAACTTTAACATAATAATAAAAAGTATAGGCATATATATTTTCTATTTGAATCTGATAAGATCCCTCATAAGTAGAGTAGAAATATATGCGTACATGACCCACTCCACCACATGGTATGATATTGTCCGCTTTGGGCCTGAGCCCGCACGGTTTTGCTCTTGGGCTTCACCCCAAAAGGCCTCATTGGTATTGGAGGTGACACACTTACATATAAGAACTTCACCTTTCCTCTACCCAGGCGATGTAGGATTATGCACCCGTAACTCGCCAGTTTGGTAGCCTAATAGTGTCTCTTGCACCCGCTCACGGCACACCCGCCCACAAGGTCATCACAATCCACCCCACTTGGAGGCCCGACGTCCCCGTCGGCACACTTCCGGCTGGGTCAGGCTCTGATACCATTTGTAACGACTCACTCCACCACGTGGTATGATATTGTCCGCTTTGGGCCTGAGCCCGCACGGTTTTGGTCTTGGGCTTCACCCCAAAAAGCCTCATACCAATTGGAGGTGACACACTTACATATAAGAACTTCACCTTTCCTCTACCCAGGCGATGTGGGATTGTGCACCCGTAGCTCGCCAGTGTGGTAGCCTGATAGTGTCTCTTGCACCCGCTCACAAGGTCATCACAGTACAGTTGTTTGTTACTCCTATAATATAGCCAAACATGCAGAACTATAAAGATATTATTTTAACCTTCTTATCAATAAGGCAAACTAGGATTAAAAATGTGATAAGTATTACATATCATATCTATCACAACTGGCAAAGGTATATCCACAATCTAAGTAATGATAATATTAAAGATGTAAGAGCTGGTATATTTAATAATACTAAGAAAAAAATAGATGAGCTCTCAAAGGTTTTACATTCAACATGCTAGAGAGATTTTCGACTGCAATAATTGGTAAATTTTTCAAATAATATATTACATATCAAGCATTACAAAAAGGGCATTTGGTCTAGTGGCATGATTCTCGCTTAGGGTGCGAGAGGTCCCGAGTTCAATTCTCGGAATGCCCCATCTAGCTTTTTCTTTCTCCCACCCATTTTTTATTTTATTTTTAAATGTCATATATATCAACATTTGTGTTGTACATTTTTTAATCTTTGAATACCACAGTGATTTACTTGGGGAAAGTACACTTAAATTTTTAACCAAATTTCTTAATTAAAAAAAAAAAAAAAAAATGTTATACCATCATAGTCACAGTTGTCATTCAACATGTTATATCATCATAGTCACAATTATCCCAAACAATTGGGTTTGGCTATTCTTTTAAAAAATAAATGTAATTTTATGTCATATGTAAAATCGTAAATTCAATTGTTTCTGCTCCATCAATAGACTAGGGAATAAGTAGCAAACTAAATTTCAGTGTCAAACCAGGATTAAACTTGCAACTTCATTCTCACAAGATGAAATTCATGAGCCTCAACCCCAGCAATTACACCTGCAGAACAACAGACCAAACAAGAAAAAAAGAACACGAGTAATTATTAGTGTCACAGGAAGTGAACTTAGATGAGAGAAAATTCAGTTAAAGTCAACACAACTACCAAAATTAGAATATATAAAGATCCAGTGAACAGAAATGATGAAGTTACATAGCAACATATAGAATTTAGCTCCCCAGTTAACCAGTCTCTAAACACCTAAGAGATAAGGAGTCTAACAGTGTTCGACTGGTGGACAATCAACATATCTTTCCTTGCAAAATTGCTGACAATGTGTTGGTGCGGCGGTTGCAAAATTGCTGACAATGTTACTATCAAAGAAATATGTCACAATTTGGTATGCCTACAGAAATGGTGCCTTGATGTGGGACAACTCTTTTGCTTTGGATTTGAACCTTAGAAGAATCTTTGTCAGTGGATTGGGAAAAAAAAAAAAAAAAAGGAACATTTGTAGATATATCTATTTGGATCACAGCTAGCAAAGGTATATTGACAATTGAAGTACCACCGAGGATTGTAACCTAGTGGTAACCTAGTTGAAACTTAGAAGATTCCTTGTCAGTGGATTTAAAAATAAAAATGCAGCAGTTATTGTATCAACTAGGCAAACTAGGATTAAAAAAATAAGTATAATACATCATATGTATCGCAGCTGGCAAAGGATTCACAATCGAAGTATTGATAATATTAAATGCGTAAGAGCTGGCATATTTAATAATACAAAGAAAAACATAGATGAACTCTCAAAGGTTTTACATTCAACATGCCTAGAGAGATTTTTAACTGCAATAATTGGTAAAATTTTCAAATAGTATATTTTATATCAATAATTTCTAAAAGGGCATTTGGTCTAGTGACATGATTCTCGCTTAGGGTGCGAGAGGTCCCGAGTTCAATTCTCGGAATGCTCCATTTGTATTGATAATCAGTGTTTTTTATTACCTAGGTTTTTCTTTCTTTCTTTTTTTTTTAATGTCATAAATATTTTTGCTGTATACATTTTATAGATGAATACTTGTGCATCGTAATTTGCTAATGAAAAGTACATTTACAATTTCACAAAATTTGTTAATTGAAAAAAAATGTTTTATCATCATTGTCATTCTTGCCTTTATCCCAAACAGAGTTGGCTATTTGTTTAAAAATAAATGTAATTTTATGTCATATGACTCATGTAAATTCAATTGTTTCTGCTCTATCAATAGACTCAGTAGCAAACTAGATTTCAATGTCAAACCAGGATTAAACTTGCAGCTTCATTCTCACAAGACAAAATCCATAAGCCTCAACCCCGATATTTGCACCAGGACAACAACAGACCAAAAAAAAAAAAACACACAGGAGCAATTATTAGTGTTGCAGGAAGTGAACATAGATGCAAGAAGACTCAATTAAAGTTGACACAACTACTAATATTAGAATATACTAGGATCCATTACAACAGAAATGATTTAGTTTTATAGCAACAAACAGAATTTAGCTCCCCAGTTAACCAGTCTCTAAAAGATAAGGAATCTAACGGTGTCCAACTGGTGGACAATCAGCATGTCTTTACTCGCAAAAATGCTGACAATGTCTCAGGTTGCTATAAAAAATATGGTTGAATCTTAGAAGATTCTTTGGCAGTGGATTGAAAAAAGGAAAAAGAATATATATACATATATGCATTTATGCAGCAGTCATTTATATCAACAAAGGCAAACCAGGATTAAAAATGTAATAAGTATAGTATATCATATGTATCACAGCTACCAAAGGTGAGTTCACAGTCGAAGTAATGATGATATTAAAGGTGTAATCCTTACCCAAAAAATATCAAAATATTAAAGATGTAACAGCAAGCATATTTAAATGCACTCAAAGAACGGAGATGAACTCTTATAAGTTTTACAATTCAACATGCCCGGAGAGATTTTCAAATAATAAAATATTATATAGTGGGCACGAAAGAGGAAAAAAGAAAAGAAAAGGGCATTTGGTCTAGTGGCATGATTCTCGCTTAGGGTGCGAGAGGTCCCGAGTTCAATTCTCGGAATGCCCCATTTTAATCAGTGTTGTCAATTACCTAAGTTCTTTATTTTTAATGTCATATAAAATATAATCTATACACTCTTTTGTGTTGTATCCTTTATTAGCTTTGAATACTTGAGCATTGTAATCTACTCATGAAAAGTAAACTCAAAATGTCAGACAAAATTTCTTGATCAATGTAAATCTTTTATTTTTCTATATATATATATATATATACATAAATATAATTTGTTGATCAGTACAATGAATCATATGTATCACAGCTAGCGACAGTCGAAGTAATAATAATATTAAAGGTGTAATCCTTACCTGAAAAATCAAAATATTAAAGATGTAATAGCAAGAATATTTAAATGCACTCAAAGAACAGAGATGAACTCAAGTTTTACAATCCAACATGTCTGGAGAGATTTTCAAATGTAGTAATTGGTAAAATTTTCTAATTGACTATTATACAATGGGCATGGAAAAAAGGGCATTTGGTCTATACATATATATAATCTTTTGTGTTGTATCTTATATTATCTTTGAATACTTCAGCATTGTAATCTACTCATGAAAAGTAAACTCAAAATGCATGCCAGCAAAATTTCTTGATCATCTTTTTTTGTTTACATACATAAATATAATTTGTTGATCAGTACAATGTATCATATGTATCACAGTTAGCAAAAGGTTTGTTGACAGTCCAAGTAATGATAATATAAAAGGTGTAATCCTTACCAGAAAATTTCAAAATACTCAAGGTGTAATAGCAAGCGTATTTAAATTCACTCAAAGAACAGATCTGAGCTCTTAAAAGTTTTACAATTTAACATGCCTGCAGAGATTTTCAAATAATAGACTATTATATAGTGTGCATGAAAACAAACAGGGCATTTGGTCTAGTGGCATGATTCTCGCTTAGGGTGCGAGAGGTCCCGAGTTCAATTCTCGGAATGCCCCATTTTAATCATTGTTTTTCAATTACCTAAGTTTTTCTTTCTTTTTAATGTCATTATATATATATAATCTATATACTATTTTGTGTACTATCCTATAGTATCTTAAATACTTAAGCATTGTAATCCATTCATGAAAAGTAAACTCAAAATGTCGGCAAAATTTCTTCGTCAATTAAATATTTTTTTCTTTTTATCTTTTTTCATACATAAATCTGCTTTGTTGATCAGTACAAAGCTAGCAAAGGTGTGTTGACAGTAGAAGTAATGATAATATTAAAGGTGTAATTCTTACACAATATATGTATTAAAGGTGTAATAGCAAGCATATTTAAATGCACTCAAAAAACAAAGATGAACTCTTAAAAGTTTTACAATTCAACATGCCGGAGAGAGATTTTCAAATAATAGACTATTATTTAGTGGGCATGAAAACAAAAAGGGCATTTGGTCTAGTGGCATGATTCTCGCTTAGGGTGCGAGAGGTCCCGAGTTCAATTCTCGGAATGCCCCATTTTAATCAGTGTTTTCAATTACACAAGTTTTTCTTTCTTTTTAATGTCATGTAAAGTATAATCTAGATACTCTTTTGAGTTGTATCCTTTATTATCTTTGAATATTTGAGCATTTAAATCTATTTTGTCGAGAAAATTTCTTGATCAATGTAAATCTATATTTTTTTTCATACATAAATATAATATGTTGATCAGTACAATGTAACATATGTATCCCATTCAGCAAAGGTGTGTCAACAGTTGAAGTAATGATAATTTTAAAGGTGCAATCCTTACCCAAAAAAATCAAAATATTAAAGGTGTGATAGCAAGCATATTTAAATGCACTCAAAGAACAGAGATGAACTCCTAAAACTTTACAATTCAACATGCCAGGAGGGATTTTCAAATAATAGACTATTATCTAGTGGGCGGGAAAAGGGCATTTGTTTGCGAGAGGTACCGAGTTCAATTCTCAGAATGCCCTATTTTAATTAGTGCTTTCAATCACCTAAATTTTTATTTCTTTTTTAATGTCATATAAAATATAATCTAGATGATACTCTTTTGTGCTGTATTCTTTATTATCTTTGAATACTTGAGCATTATAATCTAATTATGAAAAATAAACTCAAATTGTAAGCAAAATTTGTTAATCAATATAAGTTTTTTATGTCATACATAAATTTAATTGTTTCTGCTCCATCAATAGACTAAGAAATAAGTAGCAATATAAATTTCAAAGTGCACAAACCAGGATTAAACTTCCAACTTACATTCTCACAAGAGGAAATCTATCAGCCTCAACCCCAACAATTACACCTGAACAATGACGGACCTAAAAAAACATAGGAGCAATTATTCCGTGTTAAATGAAGTGAACATAGATTTTTTTTATTTTTTATAAGTAAAAGTGAACATAGATGAAAAACAGATTCAGTTAAAGTCAACACAATTACTAGAACTCCATGAAGGAGGGAAAAAAAACAACAACTACTACTACTACAACAACTAGAAAAGAGTATAAAAGGATCCACTGTGACAGATGATTTAGTTACATAGCATCAAACAGGGATTTTGTGTTCCCCAATTAACCAATCTCTGAAAACCTAAAAATATGTCACCAACCAAACCAATTTTCAAAATTGCTGACAATTTTCAAGTCACTATCAACAAAATATGTCACAAACCGATATTAATATACTATAAAAAGGTGCCTTGATAAAAGACAATATCTCTCTCCGTCACGGGAATTTTTCATATAGGTCCTTACAACTCATATTCCTGTAACAATGTAATAATTGAACTGTTATATAATAATTATTCCGGTATAATTGTGTTATGCAACAATGACTTCCAGGAGTCAATGTGCAGTATGTTAGTGGACAGTGTGTGCAGGGTTCATATACCAAGATAATAAAGCATGAAACTCTGCTTTACTGCAAGCTAACAGCATGATCAGCATCACATTTAACCAAAATTCCTTTAGATCAATAGACCTAAATGCCTTTGCCATCTGGAGTTATTTATAGGTATTGAGCACAATAAAAGAGGATTGAGAAACATTTGATATATAACAGAATGCTGCTTCCTTAGAGATAAGTTCCCTGTAGAATCCATGGAAGCAATTGCAAAGAAAATTCAGCAAGTACTCAAACATGTGCTGGACCTTTTACGATTTGCATAGCCAAGTGCCACCACCTCAGATTATAGCTACTAATAGCAGAAGAATAAAAGACCACCCAATTTCAGTTCCAATGTGTTGTAGGTAAACCAAGACAAGCACACACTTGCAAATTAAAAAAAGATAAACACAAAAATCAGACATTTGATCTAATGTGTTATGCTCCCCTTGGCTTCAATAAAAAGCAAAAATGTATTAGAATATATACGGAATTAAATTCAACCAGAGAGAAACGTTAATTGTTTCAAGAAAACAGAGAAACCAAATGCAGTCCATGCATGTGTGTGGGCGAGTGTCTCTCTGTGTGTGTTGTGTTGGGGAGGGTGGAGAAAAATTGCCAACCTTAGATGCTAGAAAATTGGATGCTATGGGCCACTGAGAAATGGTATATCAGGTCAGGTAAACTCTTTGCAAATAAAGTCATCAGAGAAAAGTACTAAGTTTAACTAAATAAAATGTGACACAAATAGAGCACAATAGGCGTAGTTAGAAGGACATTTGATTGGTGCAAAATTCTCAATTTGGAGGCAAAAGCGCCCTGGGTTTGATTCTTGGAATGCCTTCTAAGATAAGGGAATTCAGAAAATGAGTTCAACTATAAAGTCTCAACTATCAACTTTCAATTTCACCACAAAAAATTGCTAGTATCAACTTTCCAGAACTCTTTAACAATAAAGGGTCATTCAATTGGATTTACAAAAGCCATGGTCTCAACCTAAGGGCAAAAAAATAAATTAAAATGTTTTTAGTTTAAGATCATCTATAGCCAACCAAAGATGGCTATAATACTAATACAGCTACCAAAAATTATACATCTACAAGAAACCATATACGGATATGACTTTCCCCAAATTAATTTATTGCACTTAGAGACATTTGCAACTAATGCTAAATTACAATTTACGGAACAAATGCCATGAAGAATGCATGATGTGTATGATAACTGCTACTAATTTGGTAAAATAGTGTGATTCTAGTATAGGGTGTAGGAGGCCTTAACTCTTATTCCCAGAATGTACCACTTAATTTCCTGCATTTTGAAAGCCACATAATTTCAGTGACACTTTATTTTATAGTTACTATGAAAAAAATGGCAAGGACACTTTTTAGCCGCATTGAAACTGAAGTCTGAACAGAGACTGTCCAACTGAGACATGTCTCAACTCCAACTACACCACGAAAACATAAAAGGGGCACTTGTCATTATCGGGTGCACTCAGAAAGCTCAATCACTGAAGTAACAGATAGATTGCACATGCATATTGTAAATTCGTCAAAAGTATCTATCATAAACTCAGAACAAGCAGCGTAAATGTTTAATTCATCTACAACAACCAAGCCTTTTCCCAATTACTTGGGGTCGGCTACATGAATCCTATGTTTCCATTCCGCTCTATTCAAGGCCATAGCCTCAAATTCAATAACATAAAAGTTCAATTAATCTAAAACATAGAATTATAAAATATTATTAATTAGCATTAAGAGAATTAAAAAGTAGCAGAAATGTCCTTCTAAGTGGGCAAGAAATTATCAAGACTTGCAACCTTATTGCCACTGAAGAACCAAAAATAATAATTCCGGTCCAAACAGATATTATTATGCAGAATGTGTGATTTAGATTCATGTTTTGCGTTGTTTAGATGCAATCAACCAACATACAGACATCGATGCTCATATATAATTCATATTCTCTAAGGAAGAGCAAGATAACACCAAGAACTGCAGCTTAAGCCAGAGTGGAGCAACAATATTGCTCTTCCACAGAAAATTTCACAGATAGAATTTGAAAAAGCACAATTAATAATTATAAGCTGTTAGTTCTTTAAAGTGCACTAGACCCTCCTATATAGCTACCTACTTGAGTTCAAAAGCTTACTAGACAACCAATGGGCAACATTTCATAATATATAAACTGTACTTAAATAACAAGTCAACAAGCTGCAAAGATTTTAAAATGAAACAAATAGTTATTTTATAAAGGTACATTTAATAGGATATAAAACATGACACTAATTATCAATTGGGCATTTGGTCTAGTGGTATGATTCTCGCTTTGGGTGCGAGAGGTCCCGAGTTCGATTCTCGGAATGCCCCACCTTAATTTTCTGAGTATTCTTTTGTTGGTAGGCGCATGTGAATAAACCATTTTGTATATTCTCCAGTTTTTTTTTTTCTTTTTTTTTCTTTCTTTTTTTTTTTTATTACTCTGCTTCCACCAAGTCAAATTAAAAAACTCCAACAAGACTTTTGGATTAGTATCAATATTATTGTTTATTGACAATGTTTCCATTAGATTAATTAAAAGCAAGAAAAGTACCAATTTGGTGACTAGAACCACCTATTCATTCTCTGATTTTCAAAATTACTCCATAGCAATATCTGATCCAAGTCAAACTCAAAAAACCTCAGCAAGTACTTTTTAATTAATACCAATATTATTGTATTCTGACAAGTTTCCTGTTAGATCGATCAAAAACTATAAAAATACCAATATCAAGGTCGCCAGACCAAGATGAAACTTGTGACCTCCTTCATAAACCTAATCACGGACAACTCACAAATACCAAATGATATATATACATATCAACACATATAGAGATGCAATATTGTAAACTCGGCTGCCTCATTTGTTGAGCAAATCATGAGGCTTAAAAATGTAAGTTATCAACCCTAGATAAGTGAAATTTTAAACAATTAAATGAATTCGTCGGTAAACTAAGCACAGATTATTAGAGAGAGAGCTGTACCTAAACTTGCTCGAAGTAAATATCTAGAGATATACGTGATCATACCATAGTTCTTGCGGAAGGAGACGAAAGGTGAAGACGTCTGACTCTGATACCGGCGGTCCGTTTGGTTGCCCAGAAACAGGAGGAAAATAACAGAGAAAAATTAAGTTAAAACTTTCAACACTTATGCTCGTTTGGTTCGAGAGAAAAGGAGAAGGAAAGAGATTTCAGCAATTGAAACTTTGGGAAGAGAGAGAGACTGAGAGAGGGACTCAATTGTATAGTACTATTTATTTTCTATCAACTTCTAGAAGTAAAATTTTCCCTCAAAATTTTCGAAGGGCGTGTTTGAACTCCCCGGGAAATTTATGGGTATAATTGTCCTTTAGGTACAGTATACTACGGTGAGTCTTGTCGGATTCAAATCTGAGAGGGTCCGCCGAGTGTCCGACAGCTCTTCACTTTGTTAGCAATTTTTGCCACGTCAGCGCGAAAATGTTTCTTTTTTTTCTTTTCTTTTTTAAAATATTAGTGTGTGACACTTGTAAATAAGTATTTAAATCCTCTTCAAGCCAACGGTATTCTTTGTACACGTGACATGACTCAAAAAAAGTTGAAAGTGGAGCTTTAACTTTTCATGTTTTTTTTTTTTAAGACTGTTCCGTAAAAAATAAAAATAAAAAATTCTTATACATACCATGAAGCACAATGCAATTAGAAGTGTCAAAGACACGATCTGCTAACACGATATGAGATAAGCGAATTTGGGTTTATTTTAAACGAGTTCGAATCATAAACAGATTACTATGATTAATCCATTTATTTGTCGATTTAGGATTTAGAAGTTCAACCCGTATAATCCATTTAGGCAATGATAGGAAACCGAATTGGTAGCCCCTAATTGGCCACGTCAGTTCCTTTAAATATTAGATTCAACTTTTTCTCTCACATCACGTGAGTGGGTCCTATAACGCTTCTCTTCAACCTAACATAGGGTTACAACTACAATGAACAAGTCTCTAAATTTTTATGCAGACAACTAAATCTAAACTTTTTTCACTCACCAATTTTCAAACAAAAAATAAAAAAGAAAAGCAGAAAATAAAACATCTTTAACAAGTGAGAATTCAACATCTTCTCTCAACCGTGGCTTGGGTGGGTTTCCTCTTCAACCTCACAAACTGTATCAGATTGGCTTAGGTGAGTTTCGATCCCAACGTTCAATTGTAGTACTCAACGATCCCTGAGAAGGGCAGTTTGGAATTCTTTGCAAGTGAGTGCGATTCGACTGGACCAACTCCCGAGTCCCGACTGCCTTCTGTAATCGTCGCCCTGAGAAGTGCAGTCTGGGCTTCTATTGGAAGATACTGCAGACCGGATTAGTTTCCGCCAAATCGGAACTCATTTGGACGAAATTAACAGATCTAATTAAAAAACAATGGGGTTGTATTTTACAAATTCATTCTCAAACAAATTTTATACACTCATACCTTTATCTATATGTTTATATATATATGTGTGTGTGCGCGCGCGCGCGCGCTACTATTGTATATATATATATGCTACTATTGTATATTTTGTTTGCTGATTCTGATAGGTACATGTTTTCTGATCAATTGCAAATTTTCAGAAGATGGTGGCACCTTCAGTGGATTAGTTTATGGCGTAAAAAATGTCCCTAGGTTGAAGAGAAGCGTTGAAGGCCTACCCACGTGATGTGAGAGAAAAAGTAGAATTTTGCTAATATTTAAAGAAACTGACTTGGCAAGCCACGCCAGATTTGGGGAGAATTCGGGGCTACCTATTCGGTTCCCCTATCATTACCCAATCCGTTTATAACCCTTTTAACTCAATATGTTATAATCGTAAATATGACATGTATTGTTACCTGCTTAAATCTAATTATCATGCATAATTAAGTCATTTCAATATAAACCTTATTTATGTGTTATGATTTTTCTACTTATTTTAAATATTTGAGCTAATTGTGACAATTTATTATTTAATTAAATATTAAATATCTTGTTTTAATAAACAGGTTAATGGGTTGGGTTAGTATTGAGGATTCTAGCTTGACACGATTATTAAATGAGTTAGGTTTGAATTTAACTGTTTAGTATAATACCCTTATATTGACACAACACGATTATACCACCTGCGAACACAAATTGCTACCCTTAACTGTTACTGATACGCATAGGCTTCGTTTGGATTGAGAGATTTAGAGAGATTTTGACAAAAAAAAAAAAAAAAAGGGGAAGGATAGTGATGAGTGTGCTTGGATAGGAGAGAAAAGAAAGGATTTTGGGAGATTTAGAGGGATAGCAATCCCTCCAAATCCCTCATTTGGAATCCCTCCAAAATTAACAAGATTTTAAGGGATTTGGAGAGAAATGGAGCAAATTATTCTTTCTGTTCTCTGAGGGTATGCCCTTTGTGCACTGTATTCCGGTTTTATTTTTTGAGCTCAATACAACTCCAATTATGAAAAAAAAAAAAAATGGAGCAAATTACACAAGGGGTAAGTGAGTTGAGAAACAGCTGGCTGAAGCTCTGATTTGTGAACGGCGACTGAACTGGACTGGAACAACAAGTGATAGAAACTGATAGATATGGGTTTTGATTTTTTTAACAATCTGAAATGATATGCGGATATAGGTTTTGATTTTACAGTTACAAAGAAGAGAGGGAGGTTGAGAAGGAGATGGAGGCTATCGGGGAGGTTGAAATATATATATATATATATATATATATATATATATATATATATATATATATGTGTGTGTGTGTAGTTTGTAGTTTGCAGTTGCAAAGAGAGAGAGCTGCAAAACAAGAATCACAAACCTTGATTAGTTGATTTTAGAAAAATAAAATAAAATAAAACTCATATATGTATATGTAATTTGTAGTTTGCAGTTGCAGAGAGAGGGGGGCAAGCTTGAAATATATGGGTTTTGATTTTTGGAACAATCTGAAATGATATGCCGATGTGCAGTTGGAGAGAGAGAGGGGGGATCAGAAATGGAGGCGATGAGAGGCTAAAATGATTTTGCCATACTAACCCTACCAAAAAGGGTAAGATGGTAATTCCATTATTATCTTTTCTCTTCATTTCTCTTCTTTGTGTTATCCAAATAACAATATTGTAATATATATATATATATATATATATATATATATATATATATATATATTTTTTTTTTTCTCTCTCCTATCTATCCAAACATGAATATAAATTATAGCTATCAATTGTTTTCTTTTCTTTTTTGTTATAATCCTTTCATTTCTTTTTCTCTCATGTTTATCCAAACGAAGTCATAATGAATTACTCATTGGATTCCTACAAAACACAAAAGAACAAATTAAGTGAATAATTAATCAATTCGGAAATCAAGAGAGTGCCATCAACTTCCTTTCTTTTCATTTATAAAAATTTCAATTAAAGAATTATTTTGATTTATTTATTTTTAATATAGTCCTTTCGTCCTAAATTTTTTATTCTATCTTTCTTGAAAGTTCCAAAATACATGTCTCATCCCGAAAATAAATGTATTATTTTTTTATAACATTCTCAAACTATCTTTTTAATTATAGAAGTGCACTAATTATTAAATACTATTTTATCTTTTAATAAGAATAAATTTAAAATTTCACTATCATCAATATAATAAAAAGCATTAAAAACACACAATCATAAAAATGTTGGATTCCCCAAACAACCAAAAAAATTTGGTAAAGGAGTACAATTTTTGGACTGTTTGATCCCGAGTGCGCGACATAAATCATTCTTAGTTAAATACACCCAATTCAATTTCTACATGTAATATTTACAAAAATTTAAACCTAATGAGAGTCAAGGATCAATATTTTTATACTATTTCCTCCATTTCAAAATAAGTGTCATTGTTTGATATATATTTTTATTATATTAGTATTAAATGAATTACCAAATTTTATCCTAATATATAAATAAATAAATAAAAATAGTACAATGACTTTTTAATTTTTTATCTAACACGAGTTTTAATTCAGACCATACACTCACTTCATATTCGAAGGTTAGGTGTTTGAATTGCTTTAATGCCATTTTTAGCAAAAAAAAAAAAAAAAAAAAAAAAAATCAATAAATGATTATACTGTTTTAACAGATCGGGACCATCACCCCCCAAACAAAACAAAAAAACTCAAATCATCGACAATTGTCCGTGATTCATTGTAATCAAAAAGGAAACATCCTCGAAATATCACACAAACTTTATCGTTTTTCACTCAATGTAGTAGTAGTATGCACTAAGTTCCCTATCATTCTCATCCATTCCTGTCCAACAAAAGAGGACCAGTTCACTCATAACTCAAGTTTCACCATCGCTTAAAGTAAGTCCACAATTAAATTTCAATGTTTCTTCCATTTTACTATATATTCTCTGTTAATGATTAGAATTTTATATATATATATATATATATATGTATGTATGTGTTTGTTTGCATGTAGCTAGAGAGAGGATGGGTATCTTGCTAGTGCTTCTTGATGGGGTGCGGCTATGCGTGTCAACATTTTGGGATCTGCAGGAAATGCGGTATGCCACCATTTTCGACAATGTCACTTCTCTTGCCATGACTGTAATCACGGCCGCTGTTTCATGCTATATTGCCGTAAGAAGATGAACTCTTTGTGGTCGGCCTCTGATTCGATCTCACATGCCAAAGTTGCTCTCGAGACACCTCAATGACAAGAGCCTGACTAGCCGTTTTAGAAGAGAGAATTTACTGTGTGTTGTAATATTGTGTTTGACGGTGCAAAACCGTTTGTTGTTCTTTTTTTTTAAAAAAAAAGATGGAAAATTTCATTGAAGGTGTAGTTCAGTAATGTAGGAAATGATTTTTTTTTTTTTTAATACTTATTTTTAGTTGACTAATAGTGCGCTCTTCATCGAGCTTTAGATTCAACAAAACGGATCTCAACTGCGAAGAGTCGACCCACCCTCTATGTCCAACCTTGATTAACTTAATCTCGTCTGAGCATAGTAGCATTTTCATAATGAAGGGCAAAAAGAAAAAAATTAATGCGTCTGCCGGGAGTCGAACCCGGGTCTATTGCTTGGAAGGCAATTATCCTAACCGTTGGACTACAAACGCGGTTTGCTCCTTTTCGGTATTTCACGTTTTAGACGATCATATTCAAGTACGCAACTGAACTTTATTTTGCTTCTGAATTGAGTGAGACTCGAATTTATCTCTTACTGCTTAAAAGTGTGTAAAATATCCAAATGGGATAAAAAAAAATAAAAAAAATCCACTACATTTTTCAAATTGAGCAAATAAAGATATTTTTTCAATTTAAAAATAAAAAAAAAACCTAAAAACCCTTAAAACAAAATAAAAGAAACATTTATACACAAATTTTATTAAAGGTATTTTATAGATTTATATTTAAAAAAAAAAAAATCAAAGTACACTATGCAATTTGTTGCAAATGCACTTTTTCTTTTTTCCTTTTGATAAAAAAAAAAAATAAAAAAAAAAAATTCCATAACCAACCAGTCACCTTCTACTCTGAGATTTTCTGTAATTTTGAAAATATGCAACGGCTCACAAGTCAATTAAATCAGATCAGCTTATAATTACAATTTACAACCAATCAAATCAGTATAGGGGAATAATAAACTTCATTCAAACTTCAATAAAACACTTTTCAGGATAGCTGGTATTCATTCTTTTGCTTTATTATGAGGACTTATTGTGGGGAGATTTGTCCTTTTGCAAGTAGAATGAACCATATATATGTAAAACAACCTAGCTAGCTTACATACCATCACTAATTGAATCGACCTTCAAAATTAATCTAATGCATTTCCAGATTTAACAATGAAAAAAATAATCATGCAGAAACTTTGACATGCAGTGTTGTTTCACGGGATTCATCCATTGATTCAACCTTGAAGCTCTGAGTTGCCTGCAGCTCGGAGGAATCGGCCATCACAGCAGCTGGTTTAGCCACTGTCACTTCATAATCACCATGAAAGAGCGAAGTCTCCAAGTAACCTTCTTCGTCTGTGGTGCCTGCCTCCCAGTCCTCCTTACCACCCCACTCGCGGAGGAGCTTGTCGACCACATCTCCTGTAGGCAAGTTTTTGAAGTTATTGTCCGTCAAACACATCCGGTAACAGCCCCCCGGTCTCCATCCTGACCAAATCACGATTCCATTTATGGCTCCGTGTGAATGTACCTCCCTTAAAATCTGCTCCAAGTATTTTGCCTGTGTCCACCCAATACAAAAAATGTTCCCTTTTTAATTTTATTTATTTAATTATTTTAAATTAGCACAACGATGGAGAAATCATTAGATGATCTTTAACCTTGATGATTCACTCAATCAATCTAATCAACTGTGAACCCACAAAAGTGTATATATTACGCAGATAGTTCAATATTACTTCTAATTGGACCACCTACAGATGGACCAAGACCATGGTCTATTTGTAATGAAAAATGACCTTCAGCCACGACTAGTAAGTTATGAGGACATGGAATATTGGACAATTGGAATCCTAACCCTATGGCTTAATATATATATATATATATTGTACTATATATTTGTGTGTGTAATATATGCATGTGTATGTGTGTTTTTAATAGCTCTTTTACCTGATCCATGCTGCGTGCGACATCCAATTCAGTAATCCAAATGGGCAACTTTGCGGCAGCAAGTTTATCAATGGAAGCTCTAATATAAGGAAGATTCGGAGGAATGCTAAAATGCCCCTCTAGCCCAATTCCTAGAGGCCCATTATAACCCGAGTTTTGAATCTCTTGAACCTTTTTCAGATACTGATCCGGTGTAGATAAATGATCACGCATATCTTCAATTGTATTATAATCATTCAAGAACAATGTGGTTCGACTGTCAAGCGCATGAGCCTCCTTATAGAAGCCAGAAGAAGCACTTTTTCCGAGCTTGCTTTCCAAAAACGAAAAATGTAGGTTCTCATTTACCACATCCCAAGCAATAAGCTTCCCGGAGTATCGCCTCACAATAGAAAAGAGTCTCCTCTGTGCAGCTGTTCCGAGGTCTTTCGGTGACAGTGATTTCACCCACCATGGTTGGAAATTGGGGTCGTCCCAAAATACGTTGTGGCCGCGGACTGAAATGCCGTGTTTCTGAGCAAAATTTAGCATGGCATCGGGCACTGAGTAGTCCTCCTTGCCCCAGGACTTTTCAGTGCTGTACCACTTCATTTCATTTTCAAATGTGGTCACTTTGAACCTTGAGGTGAACCAGTTTTGATAGGCAGTGTTTCTTAGGATTTCGTCGTTGATGGCGCATCCCAAGGGGAATCCTAAGCTCTTCTGCGTAAAGAAAACTGTGGCGTTGGCTAAGGGATTGCCTTTTGCATCCACAGCTTGGAGTTTCACCTTGCCCTTGCGAGCCTGCAAATTATAGTTTATGTTAGCGCCATTTCTTTTCCTAATGGAACTGTAATATATATATATATATGTTTTTGTGATGTTGCGGCCTAAATTTTGTTTCGACCAATTCTGTTGTGATAATTTTTTTGTTTTACATGTTTTCTCTGCATATAGTGGATTGTTTTAGGGCTATCTTGTGATTCAGTATACAAGGATGTTTAAGGTTTGTGACGCGGTACGAGAAAATTCTGAAAGCCTTTATGGAGAGAGAGAGACAAAGGATTTGGAGATTGAAATTTGTAACTCTAGTTTTTCGGCCTTGGTAAGTTTTTCGCTGAATCACATAAATCTGTATATATTGATGCATGCTTATATTTTTGTTAATTCTTGATGATAGTTTAGTAGAGTATTAACATTTTTTTTTTAAAGAAAAACTAAAATACAGTATCAGCTAAAAAGTGGGATTTTTTATTATTATCTTATATATATATATATATATATATATATATATATTTTACCTTCTGAATGCTTTGGTCTTGATGAGATCTCCACTGATCTTCGGTGAACGGTTGTAATGAAATGCTATCTGCCCATATTTCAACCGAAACATTGTTGCTCTGAAAAGTAATAATATATATATAGTCAGCATTTTAGAGAAACCCAGGCAAAGAGAGAGCGAAAAATATATATATATATATAAAAAAAAGAGTTTATGTTTTGTTTAATTGGTTGTCAAGAAAATAGCTGAGAGAGGAAAGAAAATATATCGCACCTCGAAGTAAAGTTCAGCTGGTCCTGAAGCATTTACAATGAGGCCACCCTTAAGCATAGACCAGCACCCAGACTCAGCAATGACCGAGCCTGCATGTTTGAACCCTGTTGGTGTTTTGAATGTGGCCCTTACTTCAGCATTTCCATGGCTGATCTGTAACCACGCTGCAATGCAAATCGATAACTATTTTAAGGTCCAAATGTTTGAACGAAATAGAGAATAGAAAATTTTTCATTCCCTAAATACACTCTCAATGAGAGAAAATTTTAGAATACTCGGGCTATCGTGTTCTGGGTCTTTCCCTTGAATATGGTAATAGGACCCACTTGATGAATGATCTTAAAGGTTAGAGACGTCGGGGTACCGTAACCCTGTAATATTGTAGAACTTTTAGGAGATGTTTATCCTGTTAATATCATTATTAGTTAATTAAAACTAAAGTTTACCTAATAAGTCATTGTTTAGTAATGGTTTTATTGGTTGTCAAACAACTCATTTGATTGTCATTGGATGATCTAATTGTCTTTTATTTATTTTTTATTTTTTTTATTTTTTTGTCACAATGCTTAATTCTTAATTTGACAAATTATTTAATGCTTAATTACTGACAAAGGGAAAATAAATACCAGAAAAGGTGTAGAGCTTGGATTTGTCCAAGTAAAATTTCTGTGAGAAACTATCATGTGCATGGTTTCTATACTGAGCAACAATGAAACTGTTGCCTCCTCTTGATATTCTTGTCTCCACTTTTGCATCTCCAAATGTGTTCCACCCTTCCAAGCCCTCATCTAATTCCGGGTTCACCACCATTCCTCCACCATATTGGGGTTTGTGAGGATTTGCCAAACACTGAAAAAGTTTTTCAAATAAGAAAAATATATATATATATATTCTATTTTACACACATATATATATACATTGTTTTTAAAGAGGTGTAATTTTTTAATTTTTAAAAAAATTAATGTATGAAATTTAAATCCTACCTCAATAGAGACGTTGTAATCATAAGACAACGCTTCAACTGAAAACACTGTAAAACATTAACAATATTATGAGTATAATAATAATCACTTCATACAAAATAATACTAATAGCTAGATAAATGAATCAAACATGATTTGATTATCAAATATTTTAATCTAACCTATAAAGAAGAAAATATTTACACAACTACTTATCTTAAATTTGGCCAAATATTGTGCGTCTAGAAACATAAAACGCAAAAATAGATAGAAGACAAACCTGAAAAAAAAAGAGAACACAATAGCAGTAGAAGCATATTACTTCTCTCTCCAACCTTCATTTTTAACTTCAGTAAAGTTTTAATCCCTGTAGCCCATTTAAATCGTCATATTTAAACCATACAAAAACATACATACACATATACATATGTAAATATATGTAAATTAATGTAGAGAGAATGATGGCTTAAAATATATTCCAACCACTATATGGCTTAGTAATATATATATGTGTGTATAGAGAGAGAGAGAGAGAGATTAATGTAAAGAGAGAGAATTCCAACCACTAAAGTACGTACAATGCAAGTAGAAAGATGGGAAGAGAATCCAATGCTCAGTTGCTTGAACAAACCAAGATACCCTCCGACCACATGCTAAGAGGTAGCTTAGCTTGTTCATGGCGAGAAACTTTAATTTATATACATAATCCACATATTTTTGTAAATCCTATAATTAACTACATTACCGTATCCACAGTGAGACAGGAGAGTGTGAGTTGGTGATTTCTCATTTGTTGTGACAACCGTCAATAATTACATTCTTATTTCTTAGTATGTGAGAACGTCAATAGTAGCATTACTCTTTCTGATAATATATTATTAAATTTTTAAAAGGTCCACGTACTTTTCTTACTTAAGAAGAGTTTTAATTGCCTTGCCCTGTCTTATTTTATCTTATTAATTTTGTTTGGTCCAATTTTCTTATTTAAAGGATTTTGATTAAATTGAAATTCATGGTCGACCAATGATTGAATTGGAGTAGGTGGTCCAGAATAATCTAATAATTTTTTAGATAACCACACTGAAGCTACCAAATTTATGCGTAGTGTAATATATTAATATCAAATAATAATTAATAAATTTATGGTACATAATGATAGAAAAATTCGGTTCAATTAATGCTCTAACCAAATTTTTAATTCTGTTATTCTTATGGAACCCACACTAAAAGTTGCTACCTTCACATCCTTGAAGAAGCCCAAAACACCTGTGAGAATAAAGTTTAGTTGAAAAATGTTGCAACGAGGGAGGTGGAAAAATTGTGAGGAACAAGGGGGGAAAAAAGAGAAAAAAAGAAAAACTTTAAAAGGAGAATATGAAAAGTTTTTTCAGTTAGATATTTATTCAATAATGTAATGATAGTGAAAAAAAAAAAAAAAAAAAAAAAAAAAAAAAAAAGGAGGAGGAGAGGTAAAAAATAAAGAAAGGAGTGAGATAAGATAGAGAGAGTAATAAAAAGTTTTACAATGAATTAAAAATTCTTTTAGCTCACTCTTAAATGGTGGAGTCTTTACGGAAAATAAAAAATAATGGTCGAGCCTTTAATTCATTTGGCCCCTAACTAAATTGGTGGAGTCTAATAATACAAGGAACTAAATTTTTTAGGAAGTTTAGGAAATCATAATTTTAGGAGTCTCCTGATCTGTTGGGGCGGGGAAATAGAGGCACAAAATGTAGGGATCGGTTTGGAACGGATCGATACCCATTTTTTCAAATCCGTTCCATCAAAGGTAGATTCAAGAATTGTCAATGGAGTTGACTAATATTTCTGTAGACGGACTAATATTAATAATATATTTTTTTTGTTTGTTTTTTTGTTTTTTTTTAAGCTGTGTTAAAATTAGGTATGGTAGAAAAAAAAAAAAATTTGGTGGGCTTGAGCACACCTAAGCTCCCCTTGGATCCGCTAGTGTGTCCCACAAAGAAAAATATTTTATCAAATCAAATTCTGGATGGATCCCGATATATATATATATTTTTAAAAAAATCAAAATTGAATAAATGTAAGATAAATTTTATAATTTCTTTTTTTTATTTATTATTATTACATGCAATCAAATATTTAACAAGACATAAGATGACGTAGTTCAACAGGGTAAGGATAACCTTGGCACAGCTTGAAGTTCAAAGGGTAAATCATATCACCAACAAATCTGGCAACAAACAGATGTCCTTTGATCTCGCAAACGAACTGAGGGAGAGCGGCTATAAGAGTGAGATCCTACCAGTTAATCAGGTATGACGAAAAACGATTATTAAATCCCTGCCTTTCTTTTAGACCTCCGGTGACTGACTTGATCGTCAAAGAGCTTTTGGCAGGCACCACACCGGTGCCGTTAAGATTCATCGATCTTCTACTCTTTTCTTTGCAGAAAAATAGTGTCGTATCGGACCGCGTGAATGTCTTCCCCAACAGTTGGCGCCGTCTGTGGGAAATGACGATTCCCTTAAATCAATAAATTACTCGGTTGGGTATATGCATTTGCGGTCCAGTATGGTAACTGAAAAAGAAACATCATTGCAGGGATCCAGTCAAAGAGAAGGGTCAGGTGAACACCCAGACATCCCGAATGACCAGGAACAGCTTGCAGCGTTGGAACTACAGGTCCAAACTCTGAATCAGGGTATAGACCAATTGATCCAGCAAAATGCAACGATCTTGCAACATCTTATCCTAGCGGGACCATCATCTCAATAAGAATTGTCCGACCTGTATCCTCCCAATCTGAATGATGGGGGAGAAAACGAGGAGGACCGAGAAAACGATCCTCCTTACGAGTTCGAGGCAGAACAAAGCCAAGTCGGGAACCGATACAGAGAATCTCTTCCTCTACCTCTGCAAAATCCCTAGCCTCAAACAGGCACAACCTTTTATGTTGAGGAAAAGACAGAGAAAGTTACCTATTTTGACCTACAAATCGAGGATCTTAAGACAAAAATGGAAGATGTAATGTAGGCTATGAAAGGTAAAGGTCCTGCCACCATAGATGACATGGTGCAAAGGACCAACTTACCGTTCAGCCTTGCCGTTATGAAATGCCCCCTGCCTTGCAAGTTCAGAATGTCCTCGTTCGAAAGCTTCAATGAGACTAAAGATCCCCTCGATCACCTAGAGACCTTTCAAGCTCTTATGCATTTACACGCCGTGCTAGATAAAATCATGTGCCGAGCTTTTCCCACTACACTTAAGGGATCGGCAAGAGTTTGGTTCAATAAGCTGAAGCCAGGAACCATCGACACCTTCGAATAACTGAGTAAGCAGTTTATGAGCCACTTCATTGCAGGTCAAAGGCATAGGAGGCCGGCCACCTACCTGCTTACTGTGAAGCAACAGAAGGGAGAGTCGATCCGGGAATACATCACCCGATTCAACACAGAGATGTTGCAAGTAGAAGAGGTGGACGACAAGGTGGCTTTGACCGCTTTCATAGAAGGACTCCAAACCTCCAGATTCTTGTTCTCCTTATCAAAAGAACCTCCCACCAAAATGGCAGAGTTGTTAATCAAAGCGCAGAAACACATAAACGCTGAAGACGCCATGAATTCAAGGAAAAGAAAGGAAAGAGAGGATAAGAAGAAGCCAGCCCCTCTCGCCAGAGATGAAAAGGATACCAAATATAAGAAATCATTCTTCAGCCAAAGTGATAGGACATATCGTGAGAAGGATTCAGATAAATATGCCGACTACACTACTCTGAATATGTCAATTGACCATATTTTCTTACAGATTTAAAATGATGCGTCATTGAAATGGCCACGGAGGATGAAGTCTGATCCAACGAAAATATCTCGAGATAAGTATTGCAGGTTCCATTGGGATGATGGCCACACTACGGATTATTGTTTTGACTTTAAGAATCAGATTGAGAATCTTATTCAAATAGGTCACTTACAAAAGTTCGTTGCCAATAAAGGGACAAACCCTAATAAATGCATTCTGGGGCAGCAAACAATTAGGGAAATCAGTATCATTTCTGGATAAGTAGACCTAAGAGAATCCAACTCGGCTTAAAAGGCTAGAGTGATAAAAATTGTCTCGCGGCTGGAATTAGCCTTATCAAGTCATTCAAAATAAAAGACTGGGGGCATCTCAGTTAATCATTTTAAATAGAGAATAGCTCCCTCACGTGTTATTTATTTTCCAATAAAGTTACCATCACCAATGAGATGGATGACCCTTATTTTTTATGCAATAAAATATTATGTTTTCAGTTACCTACCTATGTGGTAATTAATGCTTTACAGAAAGCTAACAAAAAACCAAGTTCCTAGACTAAAAGAATTAAGTGAGTAAAACTCGTGAAAACAGTTCCCTTACTAAAGGGACAAACTGAGTGAAACTCGTAAAACCTAATTCCCTTACTAAAGGGACGAGCTGAGTAGAGCTCGTAGAAACTAATTCCCTTATTAAAGGGACGACGAGCTGAGTGAAACTCGTAGAAACTAATTCCCTTATTAAAGGGACGACGAGCTGAGTGAAGCTCGTAAATTTTATTCCCTTGCCAAAGGGATAGGCTGACTGAAACCAATAAAGTTTATATATAGTATATTGGATTTTCAAAAGAAAAATCAAGTTTTACATCACTAAGAGTCATTGACCAAAGGTTTAAGCCCATGCCCTTCCAAAACAGAACCTTGATTTGGTATCTGTATTAATTCCATCATTGGGAATAGTACCCGAGGGTAGTACTCAAGGGTACAAAAAATATATATATATAATAAAAAATAAAAAAAAATCATACCCATGGGAATAGTACCCGAGGGAAAAGTGCCCAAGGGTACAAAAAAAAAAAATCTTACCCGCGGGAATAGTACCCAACGGAACATTACCCAAGGGAAGAGCACCCAAGGGTACAAAATAAAATTAAAAAATAATAATAAACCGCGGGAAAAGTACCCGAAGATAAATAAATAAATTTTACATTCCCAAAGTTAGACGAGCAAGCTTAGGAATGGGGGGCAACTGATAAGGAGCATTTAAACAAGAGACAAGATGACATGGTTCAACAGGGTAAGGATAACCTTGGCACAATTTGAAGTTCAAAGGGTAGATCATATCACCAACAAATCTGGCAACAAACAGATCTCCTCTGATCTCGCAAACGAATTGAAGGAGAGCGGCTATAAGAATGAGATCCTACCAGTCAATCAGGTATGACGAAAAATGATTATTAAATCCTTGCCTTTCTTTTAGACCTCCGGTGACTGACTTGATCATCGGAGAGCTCTTGGCAGGCACTACACCGATGCTTTTAAGATTCATCGATCTTCTACTCTCTTCTTTACAGGAAAACAGTGTCATATCGGACCGCGTGAATGTCTTCCCCAGCAATAACAAAAATAATTTAGATAATCTAAACCCGTCCCATTAAAACCGACATCTCTATCATAATGTAGAGAAGAGAGAAGGGGGAAGACGTCTTTGACAGTTGAATATAGCATGCCTTTGACCTCGTTGCTCATATTCATCAACTCGTTTTGACTCACGAATAAATGGTTTAATAATTTAATTTCATCCAACCTATTTTTGATCTGCACTGGAAATTATTAGTGACCCAAATTCATTTATGACTAACCGATTCGAGCAAGTTGACAGCTTGGTAAAATTTGAATGTATTCGGCTTGGGGATGTTTTTATAAAATTTGAATGTATTCATTCTTTTGCTTTATTACGAGGACAAATTGTGGGGAATTGTCATTTTTGCAGTAGAATGAACCAATACATGTTTGGCATGCCTCTACCCCTGAAGGGACAAAGCGTCGAGCGCTCGTTCGATAATTATTAGTGCCGAGCGCTCGTCCAAAGCACCAGGCTCTCATTCGGCAATCATCAGCACCGAGCGCTCGTCCAGAGCACCGAGTGCTAGTCCAAAACACTGAGCCCTCGTCCAAAACATCGAGCGCCAAGTGCTCGTCCGGCAATCATCAACGGCGAGCGCTAGTCCAAAGCACCGAGCGCTCGTCCAGCAATCATCAGCGCCGAGCGCTCCTCCAAAGCATCGAGTGCTCGTCAGGCAATCATCAGTGCCGAGCACTCGTCCAAAGCATCGAGCGCTCGTCCAAAGCACCGAGCGCTCGTCCAGCAACCATCAGTGCCGAGCGCTCGTCCAGCAACCATCAGTGCCGAGCGCTCGTCCAAAGCACCGAGCGCTCGTCCAGCAACCATCAGTGCCGAGCGCTCGTCCAGCAACCATCAGTGCCGAGCGCTCGTCCAAAGCACCGAGCGCTCGTCCGGCAACCATCAGCTTCGAGCGCTCATCCAAAGCACCAAGCGCTCTAACCCAGCTGGCATTTGAACTTTTCAATTTGATTCCCTCCTTAATTGAGTTTGTTGGTCAATTGTTTTTAGGGGACATTGACCTCGAACTTGAGGAGGATGTTGATAATCGCGCCACACTAACCGCCCAAGTGGTACCACCTCTGAAAATAGGCACACCTGGCCAATACTTATTTGGCATGCCTCTACCCTTGAAGGGACTAAGTATCCTAAAGCTACATGTCCCACGACTGGACTTGCTGAACGAGGAGGGGGTCGCTACCCTTCCTCTCCTGAGGATGCGCCCCGCTCCAGTCGGATGGGCCCATCCTTCCTGCTCTTCCGAGGTCTCTTCCTGCTGGAACGACCTCGAGCTTTCTGCTTTGTGAGCTCCCCTCTTTTTTGGATAGAGGGACCTCGAAATATAGAGTCGGGATGTGGCCTCGCGAGGTCGAGAAGGCAGAACCTCGGAGTAGGCTCATGCCTATGCTGAGATCGAGAATATGAGGGCATGTGGATAGGTGGCTGAGATCCAAGGTACCGCCTCAGTTCGAGGTCAATGCAGGGGGAAAAGACATTCGGTATCCAAGCTCGAGTTATGAGTGATAAAAGGTGCATTAATTACGAAAGACATTTGACAAGATCTGTATTAATTAAGGAGCGCCGTTACCTCTTTGGACTGGAGGACAAAACGCTGTGGTCCATCCGTCAATGTCCCATCTATCGGGAGGGGAGACCCTCAAACCCTTGGGCAAGAGCGGGCTCACCCAAAGGACTGAGAGACATTGACCGAAGGAATAAGCACTATAAATAGGCGCATTAATCAGCCTTTAAGGACATAACAACCACCTTAACCACTAGACAATGCCGAACTCGAGTTCATTGGGTACCAAAGTCGGCCTTCCTTTTTTTAATCTTTACTATGCAAAGAGTCCCTTGTATCGCTTGGATCTCCACTTGGATACTGATCTCAAATTTCTTGACTTACATGGAACGATTTTCTCATCCTACTCACGAACCACCTTCAACAATATGTTTTTGTGATATTGTGGCCTAAATGTTGTTTGGGGCTATTTACATATTTGTGGATGGTTTTAGGGCTATCTTGTAATTCATTATATAAGGATGTTGTTTGTGATGTGGGACCAGAATTCTGAATGCCTTTTTGGAGACACACAAATGATTTGCATATTGAAATTTGTAGGTCTTTGGCTCAATATTTACGTGGACATACACGTTAGGCCAAATCACTTAAATTTGTATGTTGATGATCTTTATATTTTTGTTAATTCTTGATAATAGTTTAGTAGAGTATTAATATTTTTTTAAAAAAGAAAAACTAGAATACAGTATCAACTAAAAAGTATGATTTTTTATATATATTTTACCTTCTGAATGCTTTGGTCTTGATGAGATCCCTCCACTGGTCTTCGGTGAACGGTTGTAATGAAATGCTATCTGCCCAAATTTCAACCGAAACATTGTTGCTCTGCAAAGTAATAGTATACAGTCAGCATTTTTGAGAAACCAGGCAAAGAGAGAGAAAAATAAAATAAAAAAGGTTTATGTTTTGTTTGGTTGCTAAGAAAATAAAATAAAGTAAAGATACTAAATGGGGCAATAGCTCAGGGGGTATAAGCCCACCTTATGGAAAGAAAGATTGAGCATTCGAGCCTCATTGAAAGTCAGACATAAATGTATGAGTTTGCTTAACTTTCAAAAATAAAAAATACAGCAAAGATATTGTACCTCAAAGTAAGCTTCAGCTGGTCCTGAAGCATTTACCATTAGGCGCCTTTTCATGTATGAGTTTGCTTAACTTTAAAAATACAGCTAAGATATTGTACCTCAAAGTAAAGTTCATCTGGTCCTGAAGCATTTACAATTAGGCCACCCTTGAGCATGGACCAGCACCCACACTCAGCAGTCACGGAGCCTGCATGTTTGAAGCCGGTTGGTGCTTTGAACCCGGCCACTACTTCAGCACTTCCATGGCTAACCTGTAACCACCCTGCGATACAAACTGATAATAATTTTAATGTCGAAGAGTTTGAACGAAATAAAGAAAAGAAGATTTTATATTCCCTACACAATTCAATGAGAGAAAAATTTAGAATATTCTGGGAGTACTTCCCAAGGATTGGATGTGATGATCGGATACCATACCCTCAAGATATTGTAGAAATTAGGAGTAATGTGAAACTCAATTGAGTGTATCCATTAAATATAAAATTTTAAACTCTCCTTTTTGTTCAAATTATTTAGTGTCAATGTCATTACTAATTAATATAGATTTCTTCAACTTCTCCATTTTGTTCAAATTCTTCAGTGTCAATGTTATTTTCTTCAACTTCTCCCACGTTTCCTCCCATCCTGTTTCTCCCCTTCTTCTGATCTCACTAATGATATCTCTCCCATTCCAAAAATGAAAAGATCTCACTAGCATACAGTGTTTGAGTTTGAGGAAGCTAGTTATTGAACTTGTTAAGAGATTCTAATATAAGGGGGAAAAAAAATCTTATTAAGACAACCCGTATTGAAGAAATCCAAAAATTTATGAATCCGTCAACTCTTCTAATGTCCATAATGATAATTTGTTGATTTTGAATATATTTTTTTCTTTTTGATGAATTTATTAATATTTTTTTTTCGGTGTATGGGAGATAGGGATAGGGATAGGGTTATCTTTAAATAAAAGGAGAAAAGTTTATGATTATGATTAGGATAATAAAGTCATGTGATTAGAATAAACATATTTGAATTAGAAGCAAACTCTATATCACTAAATAGATCCTCTCTAATTATAGAAAAATATTTAATTGAATTGAAAATTAAGAAAAGTTTAATTTTACTCAAATAGAAACTTTGTTGTATAGAATAGCTTATTTGCTTTTACAAGTAAAAGTATAGAAATTACGAAATAGAAAGGAAAAAAAAAAAAAAAACATGGAAAAAAATTGCAATATTTTGTTGTTGATGTTACAAATTTTGATCTGGGGGTGATAACATATGAAAAAACGTTGATGAATTAGAATTCTAAGAAAGTGAAAAAATTAAATATTGTTTTAAATTAATTAATTAAAATTAAAAACAAATTTTATAGGCTTTAAAACAAAGGTTGATGCTTAACGTTGATAAATTTTTTATTTTTTATTTTTTTCTCTTAAACTCAATTCCCATGTGCTGCTATAGTGCCTCATAAAGATTATTACTGTAGGGTAGCAATACTAGAGACCCAAATTATCATAAGTATCAACATACTTTGTGTGATAAGTTTCTAAAAGTGTCTTAGAGAAGATGACAGAAATTGAAAAAATAAAATAAAATAATAAATAAATAAAATTAGGAAGAATCTCTCCTCAATAGGGAAGGATAATTATGGTATTAAAAATGATAAGAATTAAATTTAGGTAACGTATGAATGAACTTGTAATTTTATTTAAGAAAGAGTCAGAGTCAATAATTAATATTAACAAAAATGTCATTTCTTAATGTAATAATAACAATGGTTGCCAAACAACTCATTTGATGGTCATTGACATATATTTTTTTTATTATTTATGACAATGCGTACATATGATTAAGACAAATTAATTAATGCTTATTGAGAAAGGGAAAATAAATACCAGAAAAGGTGTAGAACTTGGATTTGTCCAAGTAAAATTTCTGTGAGAAACCATCATGTGCGTGGTTTCGATACTGAGCAACAATGAAACTGTTTTCAATCCCTCATCTAATTCCGGGTTTTTTTTTTATTATTTATGACAATGCGTACATATGATTAAGACAAATTAATTAATGCTTATTGAGAAAGGGAAAATAAATACCAGAAAAGGTGTAGAACTTGGATTTGTCCAAGTAAAATTTCTGTGAGAAACCATCATGTGCGTGGTTTCGATACTGAGCAACAATGAAACTGTTTTCAATCCCTCATCTAATTCCGGGTTCACCACCATTCCTCCACCATATTGAGGTTTGTGAGGATTTGTCAAACACCGAGAAAGTTTTTCAAATTAGGAAATAAAAAGATTGGGTGAAATTTATTTATTTTTTAAATAAAATATGAAATTTAAATTCAACCTAAGTACCTCAATAGAAACATTGCAATAGTAAACTATCGCATCAACTGAAAACACCGCAAAACATTAATAATATTCTATAAGTATAATAATAATCACTTCATACAAAATAATATTAAAATCTTCATAAATGAATCGAACATGATTTGATTATCATATAAACTGAAAGCCATTGCATAAATATATTGAAAAATAAATAAAAATTATTTCCTTTTCAAGGAGAACAACCAAACCAATCACACGCTTTTCTTTTATCTTTAAATTATCATGCCACGTCAATACCTAATCAAATTATAAGATTTAAATCCATATCATCCACTTAAGCAGATGATCATAACTTACCAACAAATAAAGACAATTATGTTTTTTTTTTTCCTCTTTTAATGATTCTGCCAAAAAGTTAAAAGAAACTTTGATTCTCACCTATAAAGAAGAAAATATTTACACAACTACTTATCTTAACTTTGGCCAAATATTCTGTCTAAAAACATAAAACACAAAAATAGACAGAAGACAAACCTGAAAAAAGAAGAGAACACAATAGCAGAGAAGCATATTATTTCTCTCTCCAACCTTCATTTTTAACTTCAGTAAAGTTTTAATCCCTGAAACCCATTTAAATTATCATATTAAAACCATACAAAACATACAACTATAAATATGGCTATGTATATAGACACTAAACATAGAAACCTTAATTTATTGACGATATTGTAACACAGTCAATCTTATCCGTGCCAACGTCAACAATTATAGCATAGCTCCTTTCTTATAATAATATATTATTAAATTTCTTAGGTTTACTTCTCTTACTCGAAGAATTTTAATTGCCTTGCTCTTTCTTATAAAATCTTATTGAGTTTTTTAGGACCACTTTTATTAATTAAAAAAATTTGATTGAATTGAAACAGATGGCCCACCACGTTCCCGTCGTATATCTTTCTATTACCTAATAAAAATTTCTATCTCTAAAAATTTTGAGATAATTTTTTTTTATATTCTATATATGTAATTTATTATCTTTGTTTTTATACATAATCTCTGCATTATGGTTACACCTCGTGAGAGTTTGAGATATAACTTGAATCTAATTCACTATATAAAATGTTAAATTTAAGCCCAATTCTAGTCTTAATTTTAATTCTAATTACTCAATTCAAACCCAACTTATACTTCTACTTTTAAATTCGGGTTTGCAATTCGGGCTTAGATTCCGAGTTAAAAATTCGAGTTAATTCGGATTACTAATATGAATGATTTTCACACCGAAAATTTAATATGATCTTGAATTAGTTTTAGATTAAATTATTCTTAAACAAGAAAAAAAAAAAAAAGATTAATAGACTTTTTGAAAATTATTAATAAATTACAAATAAATTCTTATAAAATTAATTTTCCTAAATGTTAATATACAATAAATTAATATTTAACCAATATTGAAGTTGAAAGGAAAAAAGGTAATCATAGTTTAAATATTATATATAATGTATTTAAAATTTAAAATATATATGAAAATAATATTAAAATTCGGATTCGAGTAGGCTAGGGTTGTTGGCACCTCACCCCAATCCCAACCTTAATTAAATTTGAATTGAGATTCTTCACCCTAGGCCTAACTATAAAAATAATTGTCCAAGCCTACAAAAAAATTAGGTTAGGTTCGGTTGTCCAAACCAAGTTGCACTCTTACTCTGTTTACTATATTTTCTATTATTTTTTCTTTAATGAGAAAAAAAAATAATAATCAAATTACTCAGCTTGAACTCTTATTTATGTTATTATATTATTGTACCATAGTGGTAAAATATTAATATAACATCTTCAAAAACAGGCATGAAATTAGATATTTGATTCTCTTACCAAGAATGCGTATTCCCCCAATCCGTAATTAAAGGAATATCAAACCTATTAGAATGTGTATTACAGTCCATAAAATTCAAAAGCGATATAAATAAGTTCATCTGATCACTTTTTTTTTTTTTTTCTGAAATTAACATAAAGTAAATTTAAAAATCCTAATTTACTCTTTTCTTATATCATCAAGATCAAATAGTATGTTTTATTTTACTTTGTCCTTTTTCGTTCTACTTTTAGGATGAATCATATTAAATACAAATATTTATTTATTTAGGTCAAATATTATATGAATACTTTATAGTTTTGGTGTTAGTATGAAACATATTAAATATAAATATTTATTTTTGTAGGTCACAGGTTATATGAATACTACATATTAAATGTAAATATTTATTTATTTAGGTCTAAAATTGTATGAATACTATATGGATATAATTTCATATTTTATGTAATGCTTTCAAATTATTTGTTTATTTGATCTTCCTAATAAATTTTGGTAAGGAATTCCTAATTTTTCAATTATACAAATAAAATCATTTACTTTTACTTTTCCAAATATGTCTTCTTCTTTTTTTTGTCTACGATGAAACAAAATATAATATATTTAGCTCTGTTTTTTTCATAAAAAAACTGG